AAGGCAGATGCTTAACGACTGAGCCACCCAGGCGCCCCGCATTAAGCCAACTTTTAAAGTTGCTATGGATGTTTAAAGTTTATAGGAACTCTATGGGGTAACTTTAAGTAAAGCAAATATATTGAGAATAATCCCTAGCTTATGTATTTTATAGCCTTGTTCTTCAATATATTTCTGATTTATTCAAGTGAATAATACCAGTAACAAATGTTACAAAAGTTATAATTGACTGGTGCTGGGTTTTTTTTTTTTTTTTCAATTTTTTAATGGAGTTTTTTTATTCCAAAGCCACTTTTATTGAGGTATGATTAATATACAGTAAAATTCTGTTTTAAAGTACATTTGAAATGTTTGAAAGACTTACTGGAGCGGCCCTGTGTTTTTTATTTTTAGACTCTGCAGGAGAGCCACTTCACATTATTAACTCTTCTAATGTAACTGAGGAGCCCCTGCTGAAAATGTCACTGACAAAGGTACCTGGTTTCCTTCTAGGATTCTTAATATTTGAATATATAAAGTTATGTAATTCTCCCATGTTTAGTATTTCAATTTTCCCCCCTAAAATTTTTCATTCTAAAGCTCATGGATTGTAGTGAATTATGCAAGCATCCAAAAGTAACCTTGTGAATAACTCTTATATTGTTGAATAAGTGAGTGTACAAAGTTCTGTGGTAATCCGAATTTGTTATAATCTAGATATGCTAGCATTTTTCCCTACCTTTGGTATTTAATCCTAAGTAGGATAAGGAATTTGAGTTTTTGCTTCTATAGGATGTAAGAAATGCTTCACTTTTTTTGGCACATGCCTCTTTGCTGTTAAGAAATATGCTTATAATGTTTTCATAGCGTACTTTGAAAAGTAGAGATATATATATGCATATATATGTATGCACATGTATATATACCTATGTATGTAAGTGTATATATATATATTTTTTTTTCAATGTGTGAATTCTTGGTGTTTTCAACCCAGTGGTTTAATCTTTCACTATTTCTAGGCAGACAGTGATGGACCAGAATTTAAAACCGTTCATGACAATACCAAACAGAGACTGAAGGTAAATATTTTCTAATTCTCTATAAGGCAATGTTACATTAATTATTAAATCTAGCTTTATAGCCATCCTCTTTCTCCGCATCCTCACCAACAAATAATATACTATTTAAGGGAATTTTATACATGGTTATTTGGCCTACTGTTGATGGATGTATTAAACATTTGAATTATATATTGGCTTTAGGATTAGAATAAAATTAATGATGAAGCTAAAAGCATGGCTCAGTACAGATATTGCTTACAATACATTTGAACTTATATAGTCTGTCTTGGACCCATCTGAAATGTGATTGACCTAAGGCCTGCTAGTACTTCCCGTATCTTTCCTTAAAACCCACCAATTAAGGTCAGAATTAGAGTTGGGCATGAGGGGGGCAGAGTGTTTGTTTATTGTCTGGTTGAGATTAACACTGTAAGAATGAGTTCTTTCTTTAAAAAAAAAAAAGACCAAGTCTGTGATTCATCAGTCTTACACAATTCACAGCGCTCACCATAGCACATACCCTCCCTGATGTCTATCACCCAGCCACCCCATCCCTCCCACCCCCCCCACCACTTCAGCAACCCTCAGTTTGTTTCCTGAGATTAAGAATTCCTCATATCAGTGAGATCATATGATACATGTCTTTCTCTGATTGACTTATTTCACTTAGCATAATACCCTCTGGTTCCATCCATGTCGTTGCAAATGGCAAGATTTCGTTATTTTTGATGGCTGCATAACACATTATATATTAAAAAAAAAAAAAAGATAGTAGGAAGGGAAAATGAAGGGGGGGAAATTGGAGGGGGAGACGAACCATGAGAGACTATGGACACTGAGAAACAAACTGAGGGTTCTAGAGGGGGGGGGGGGGGGGATGGGTTAGCCTGGTGATGGGTATTAAAGAGGGCACGTACTGAATGGAGCACTGGGTGTTAAACGCAAAAAATGAATCATGGAACACTACATCAAAAACTAATGATGTAATGTATGGTGATTAACATAATAAAATAAAATTTTTAAAAAAAGGATCTTAATTGATCTTTTCTTAAAGGAATTATTCTTCAACATATACTTATTTGTTTATGTTTGAAGCTTAACATAAAAATGTCACCATATCTGAAATCTGTCTTTCTAATTGTTTATTATCTTAGGTTTCATTTTCATCCTTAGACTTAGTACTTCATTTGGAAGCTTTACTGTCCTTCATGGATTTTTTATCATCTGCTGTTCCATCCTCTGAACCTTCCTCTTCTGAGAAGGAATCTGAGCTGAAACTACTTGTGGGGGAGTCCAGAAGTATCGTTGTCAAAGCTGGTATTAACTTCTGAGTCATGGTCTAATACTTTCTGTCTGAACTTTTAATAATCGTATGATAACTTATATTTTCAAGGTAGGACAAATATTTAGCACCTTAATATTACAGCTGCTCTGACAGATTAAGTTAGTTTCAAACGAGAGCAAATTTTATTCCTGCGGTAGGGACAGGATAATTTTGTGAGGGATTTAAAATAAATTTTTAATATTAATCATGTATTTGTATTTGATTTCACTGTCAATCTTTTATGGAAAATAAAGTTGTACGTACTTTGCATTGATATCTCTGCAGCCTTCACTTCAGTGCAAGTGAGAACAGAAGAAATTAAAATATGAATACAGTCATGCATATACAAAGGCCCATTTCTGTCAGTCACATAAACCCACGTGGTGCTCAACAATTTTAAATGCTCTGCGGGGCACAAAAGGAAGAAGATCATGGAAGAGAAACACTCACTTTGGTTTCTAACCAAAACTGAATTTAAATCACACACACATATGGGATGTTCCTCAAGCATATGGCTTGTGCTATGAATTAGATATGATGTTATCCTGAGTGAACATGCGCCTATTTTTAAGCCAAATGTCATTTAAATTATTTTTCTTTCATATTACATGGTATGAATATCTAACATCTAGTAATTTAATTTTCAGACCATTGCCTGTTTGAGTGACATCTGTATTACTGACATCTTTAAAGCATAAAACTCTTAGTAATATTAGATCTGATATAAGGATCAGATTTTTTTTTAACCAGGGATCAGAGCGATACTTTTGCTATAAACTAGAGTTAAAGAGTTTTATTGTTGTCTTTAATGTCCTTGCTGTATTAATACCTGTGGAAATGCTTCTTTATGTAACATGCATATATACATACATGTACACACACAGTTGAATAAATGAAAGAGCAATGTTTAAGTTCACAATAAACTACAAAAATTAATCCAAAGAAACAGTTTTCCAGTTATGCTATGTAGTTGATTTTAATGGTTTGATTATAGTTTTTATGGTTTGATTTACATCTTAAGGGAAAAAAAAAAATCCCTGTTATCACCTTGGTGATTAAGGACTGATGTCCTGTGCTTTTACAGTATTATAGGAAAAGGTCTGTTTCCCTCAGGCAAGACAGATCTCTAGAAAAATATGTCCTAAATTTATCAGTTGAGACCTGGACCAAAGTAGCTGAAGGGAATCCATTTGATTGTGATTCTTATACACACACACACTATAAATTTTTTTGTATTTTTTTAACTCAGCTCTTTATGTTTATGTCTCATAGACCTAAATCTTTTTTCCCAGAAGAAAAATTATAAGAAAGTTTCCATCTAGAAAATTGTATTTTCAAGGTTCTATTAAAGGTTGCCTTTATTCTTAAGTTGGAGAGGAATATGCTAGTTTCTGATTGGCATTTGAAAATTGAGTCAAAATCCATATTAATTATATGTTATCTTAATGGAAGCCTTTTTGATTCTTCTTAGTTCATAATGTACTTTTTGTGAATTTTACATTATTTAGTCTGTTATATCATCTTTGCACTTTGCTAATCACAAGCTTTCTATTATTTTTCAGTATCCAGCAGTACTTCTGAAGATGATGTGTTTGATTTAAAGGTCATAGCTGAATTAAATGCATTTAATATCTTTGTCTGTGATCAGAAGTGTAACATTGCAGATATTAGAATACGTGGTAAGTAATGATATTCCTTGGTGTAGGTATTTCTGTTTCTTTACATAGACCTCCAGGAAGAGTGAGTTTGTGTATGGTAGATTTCTTGAGTCATTGTTTTGTTTACTTATATTGAAGACTTGCACAAACTTTTCAAAGATGTACTTTGAAATGGTAGACGTGAATTTGTTATGATTCACAGCTGACATGAAATATTTCTTATGTATTTTTCAAGTTTTAGAATAAATCTAAGGCTTAATTGCTTATGTTCCTTTTGTATTTTCAGAATAAAATACAAAAGAGAAACTGAGAAATTAATATCACAACACCTCACTAAATAAAGAAAATGTTAACTATGTTTATTTCCCTTGTCTTTTGTACATATATAATATCAGACTAGAAGTACCTAAAAGAAATTTTGTGTTACTCATCATCAGCTTGATAAAAGGATAGGTTCATATTATACCATGGGTTCTTGAACCAATCTGCCAAGATTCAAGTTTTGGCTCTAACATCTATTAGCTGACCTTGAGAAAATTAATTAACCTTTCTGTATCTTAGTTCCCTATGGAGATAGTTGTAATAATTATTCATGGGATTGTTGTGATAGTTATGATAACTTTTTGTAGGATTATATATGCATTTACATATATTTAGAAAAGTGATTGGTACATAGTAAGCACTTGAGAAAAGATTAAAAGTAAGTACTGTTCAACAAATATTACTAAGTATTTCATCGGTGGCATGGTATTAGATTGAGCTTATTACTGGTTCTTAGCTATAGGCATTCTCTTTTCCTGAGGAGCTGTTTTAGAAATCATTATGGCTTTAGAGATTATGAGAATAACCAAAATTTTTTTGGATAGAAAGATTCTATTTTATATGTAGTTTTTTGTAGAATGAATATTTATTCATCAAATTATATTCATTCATGCTCCATTATCAGAGCCTTAGTTTTCATAATAAATGCTTGTGAGATGGCTGTTTAAGAAATAGTGTGTGTCTTCCTCTATGACCACTTATGATCTTGCCAATGCACAGGATATTTGTTTGGAGACCTGTGATTGATTCTCTTTAAAATTCAGTTTCTTTTGTCTTTAAAATTTCCACTTTTATGTATGAAATACTTAAAGATATTGTAATCTTCATTAGGCATCTTATACATAGAAGTTGATACCTTTACTATGTGTAATAGTAATTATATCCATTCTCTATCTTGGTAGTATATTTTTTAACTTGATTAAATACCACTGAATCGGTTCACTTGGATTGGGTGAAAAGTTTGTAAATGTTATGTTTCCCGTAGGAATGGATGCCTCTATTTCTGTGAAGCCAAAGCAGACTGACATGTTTGCCAGACTTAAGGATATAGTAATTACGAATGTTGATTTGCTGTCCATTCACAAAAAGGTAATTAAAAAATAGGTTTCAGGAAAAGGAGGCTGTTCAAGATGTCAGGGTAGGAAGATCCTGAACTCACCTCCCCTACAGCCATAACAATTCTACAGCTACAGATGAGATAATTTTCTCTGAAAAAGTCATGAAAACTAGATGAACAGCACCTTCACAACAAAAGATAAACGGGCTACATCGAGATGGGTGGGAGAGGCAGAGATGTACTCTTGCTGCCATAGCTTGCAGGCACCCATAGCATACACAGGAGATGCCCCAGGAGCACCTGGCTCTGGTGTCCAGGTGGGATTGTGCTTCTGGGCCCTATTGGTCATGTTCTGTTCTGTTCAAGGCCACTCCTTCAGTGGGAAAAGTAGGTCTTTCACCTAATACATAGAAACAAACACAGAGAATCAAGCAAAATGAGGAGGCAGAGGAATGTGTCCAAATGAAGACAAAGGCAAACCTCAGAAGAACCCTTAATGAATCGGTGATAGTTTTCCTGATAAAGAGTTCAAAGTAACGGTCATAGTGATGCTCACCAAACTCAGGAGAAGAGGGGATGAATAGAATGGGAACTTCAACAAAGAGATATAAAATATATGAAAGGACCAAATAGAAGTCATAGAGCCTAAGAATACAATAACTGAATTAAAAAATACCCCAGCGGGGCTCAGCAGCAGACTGGATGAAGCAGAACAGATCAGTGAGCTGGAAGACAAAACAATGGAATTTACCCACACAGAGCAGCAGAACAAAAAATGAGAATTAAAGAAAAAAGATGATAACTGAAGGGACCTATGAGGCAACATGAAGTAGAATAATATCCACCTTATAGGAATATCCAAAGGAGAAGAGAGAAAGGGACAGAAAATCTATTTGAAGAAATAATGGTTGAAAACTTCCCTAAACTGGGAAAGGGAATATCCCAGAAGGTTCCAAATGAGATGAACACAAAGACTGCAACACCAAGACACATTTTAATTAAACTGTCAAAAATTAGAATCTTAAAAGCTGCAAGAGAAAAAGAACTTGTTAATGTACCAGGAATACCGCATAAGGCAGTCAGCAGATTTTCAGCGAAACTTTGCCAAGCCAGAAAATGGCATGACATATTCAAAGAACTGAAAGTAAAAAACTTTCAACTAAGAATACTCCACCTGGTAAGGCTATCATTCAGGATAGAAGGAGAGAGAAAGAATTTTTCAGACAAACAAAAGCTAAAGAACTTGTAACGATTAACTGGGCTTACAAGAATGTTAAAGGGACTTTTTTCAGTTGAAAAGAAATGGCACTAATTAATAACAAGAAAGCATATGAAAATAAAAATCTTACTGGAAAAGGTAAATATGTAGTAAAGGGTGGATTAACAACTTACTAAAGCTAGAATGAAAGTTAACAGACAAAAGTGGTAAAAATAGCTATAGTTATAATAATTAGTTTATGGATACAGAGGATAAAAAGGTATAAAATGTGACATGAAAAAAATATGGGCTGGAGACAGTAAAAATGTGGAGTTTTGGAATGTATTCAAATTTAAGTTTCTGTCAACCAAACAGGCTGTTATCCACATAGGATGTTTTATTTGAACTTCAAGGTAACCACCCAGCAAAACTTACAGTAAATGCACAAATAAGGAAGAAAAGAAAATAAGGAAGGAATGTAAATAAAACACTAAAGGGAGTCATCAAACCACAAGGGAAGTGAGACTCCATCAAAAAGCTGTTAGAGCTAATAAATGAATTCAGTAAAGTTGCAGATACAAAATTAGCATACAAAAATCTGTTGCATTTCTATACAGTAATAATGAACTATCAGAGAATTTAGGAAAACAATCCCATTTACAGGTGCATCATAAAGAATAAAATATCTTGGAAAAAAATACCTAGGAATAAATTTAACCAAGTAGGTGAAAGACCTGTACACTGAAAACTGTAAAACATTGTTGAAAGAAATTGAAGAAGACACAGATAAATGGAAACATATTTTGTGCTCATGGATTGAAATAATTTATATTGTTAAATTGTCCATACTAAAAGCATTCTACAGACTGTGTGCAATTCATATCAAAATTCCAGCGGCATCTTTCACAGAAATAGAACAGTTCTAAAATTTGTATGAAAACACAAAAGACCCCAAACAACCAAAATGATCTTCAGAAAGAACAATGCCAGAGATCTCATGCTCCCTGATTCAAACTATTCTACAAGGCTATGGTAATCAAGAGTATGGTATTGGCATTAAAAGAGAGACATAGATCAGTGGAACAGACTAGAAAGCCCAAAAATAGACCCATGTACATCTGGTCAATTAATTTTCAACAAAGGAGGCAGGAATATACAGTGGGGAAAGGACAGTCTTTTTAGTAAATGTGTTGGAAAGCTACATGCAAAAGAATGTAATTGTCAATTAAATGGGACAGCTACGTATAAATGCATGAAACTGGACCACTGTCTTTACACCATATAACAAATTTAATTCAAAATGGATAAAAGACTTGCATATAAGACCCAAATCTAATACTCCTAGAAGAAAACATACATGGCAAGGTCCCTGACATTGGTCTTAGCTAAGATGTTTTCTTAGATCTGACTTCAAAGGCAGGAGAAACAAAAGCAAAAATTTTTAAATGTGACTACATGACACTAAAAAGCTGTATAGCAGAGGAAGCCATCAACATATCAAAAAAGCAGCCTACTGGGCGCCTGGGTGGCTCAGTCGTTAAGCGTCTGCCTTCGGCTCAGGTCATGATCCCAGGGTCCTGGGATCGAGTCCCACGTCGGGCTCCCTGCTCGGCGGGAAGCCTGCTTCTCCCTCTCCCACTCCCCCTGCGTGTGTTCCCTCTTTCGCTGTTCTCCTCTCTCTCTGTCAAATAAATAAATAAAATCTTTAAAAAAAAGAAAAAAAAAAAAGCCTACTGAATGGGAGAAGATTTTGCAAATCATGTATCTGACAAACAGTTAATATCTAAAATATATAAAGAACTCATACAACTGAATAACCAAAAAACCAAACAATCTCGTTAAAAAATGAGCAAAGGACCTGAATAGGCATTTTTGCAAAGAAGACATACAGATTGCCAACAGGCACGTGAAAAGATGCTCAGCATCACTAATCACCAGGGAAAGGAAAATCAAAAGCACAATGAAGTATCACCTTACATCTGTCAGAATGGCTTTTATCAAATAGATAAGAAATAGCAAGTGTTGGTGAGGATGTGGAGAAAAGGGAACTCTCATGCCCAATTGGTGGGAATGAAAATTGGTACAGCCACTGTGGAAAACAATATGGAGGTGCCTCAAAAAATTAACAATAGAACTTTCATATGATCCAGCAATTCCACTTCTGAGTATCTGTCTGAAGAAAACAAAAACACTAATTTGAAAAGATACATCACCTCTGTGTTTATTGCAGCATTATTTACAGTAACCCAGGTGTGGAAACAACTCTAAGTGTCCATCAATAGATGAATGGATAAAGAAGATGTGGCGTATAGATACAATAGAATATTACGCAGCCATAAAAAAGAATGAAGTCTTGCCATTTGTGACAATATGGATAGAACTTGAGGTTATTATGTTAAATGATATAAGTCAGACAGAGAAGGCCAAATAGGGTATGATTTCACTTACAAGCAGAAACTAAAAACCAAAACAAAACAAAACAAAAACCTCGGACTCCTAGCAAATTGAGTAGTGGTTGTCAGAAGGGAAGGTACTGGGGAGATGAAATAAGTGAAGGGGATCAAAAGGTACAAACTTCCAGTTATAAAATAAATGTCATAGGGACATAAAGTATAGCATGGGGCATACAGTCAGTAATACTGTATGACCTTTGTATGGTGACAGGTGGTAACTAGACTTACTCTGGTGAGTAATTTGCAATGTATACCAATGTCAAGTCACTATGTTGTACACGTGAAACAAATACAATATTTTATGTCAGTTATACTTCACTTCAAAAAAAAAAGAAAAAGGAAAACCGGTTACACTCCAAAATAAGATGCCATTATCCCCATGAAAATTTGGGTTAAATATTAGAAGATACTTCACACAAAAAGATTATGAATGGTCATAAAGAATATTAAAGATGTTCAACAACACTAGTTGTCAGGTAAATGCAAATTAAAGCCACAAGGAGATAGATACCCATTTCAGGGGCTACATTAAAAAAAATTGACAATACAAAATAAACCCTTAATGAGGAAAAAAAAAATGACAATACCACCTATTGGCAAGGATTATAGCAACTGGAACTTCTGTTGCTGGTGGGACTGTATAATTATATAATCACTTTGGAAAACAGTTTCAGAGTTTCTTATAGAACCCAATATATATTTACCATATAACTCAGCAATTCCAGTCCTTTGCATTTCCCCAAGAGAAATGAAGACACATGTCCACGGAAATCTTTGAACATGAACACTCATGACAAGTTTGTAATCATAACCCCAAACTGGAAACAATCCAAATGCCCATCCAAAGAGGAATGGGTAAACAAACTGTGGCATATCCAAACAGTAGAATACTACTCAGCTATAAAAAGGTAAAAAAAAAAAAAGTGATACATGTAATGGGGGTGAATCTCAACATGCTTAATAAGAGAAGGCAGACACAGAAGAGAACATATCCTATGATTCCACTTACATGAAGCTCTAGAAAAGACTAGTAAGTGAAAGTAGATCAGCGGTTGTTTGGATCTGGGTTTGGGGGAGGGTCAGGGATTAGCTGAAGGGGAGGGGCTCAAAGGAACTTTTTGGGGTGATGGGATGTTCTGTATCTTGTTTTGGTGGTATTTACATGGGTGGTATAAATTTGTCAAAATTTCTCAAAGTATATACTTAGGAAATGAATGCATTTTATTATATGCAAATTATACCTTAAAAAGTTAATTTAAGAATAATTATTTCACAAAAAATTAGAATGTACAGATTAATAGAAACCAAAAAAACAAACATGAAAAAATGCTTTTTAATGAAAAATAATTTCTGTATTGAAATTTACTTTTGGGACGCCTGGGTGGCTCAGATGGTTAAGTGTCTGCCTTCAGCTCATGTCATGATCCCAGGGTCCTGGGTTCCAGTCCCATATCAGGCTCCTTGCTCAGCAGGGAACCTGCTTCTCCCTCTCCCTCTGCCCCTCCCTCCTGCTTGTGCACGCTCTCTCTCTCTCTCTTTCTGACAAAAAAATAAAGTCTTAAAAAAAAAATTTAGTTTTGATTTTTGTGTTTAAGATGGCTTTATTCATTTGTTTATTATGTATTCATTAATGGTCATGTGTCAGGCAGTTTGTTAGGGATTGGCCATGAATATAGTTATTCTGTGCTTTGACCTGGTGTATAGACTACGTGATTTATAAGTTATGTCTGACCAATTAAGTGATTGATATTTTCTTTTTTTTTTTTTTTTAAGATTTTATTTATTTATTTGACAGAGAGAGACACAGTGAGAGAGGGAATACAAGCAGGGGGAATCGGGGAGGGAGAAGCAGGCTTCCCGCGGAGCAGGGAGCCCGATGCGGGGCTCGATCCCAGGACCCTGGGATCATGACCTGAGCCGAAGGCAGACGCTTAACGACTGAGCCACCCAGGTGCCCCTAAGTGATTGATATTTTCATTGATTAAAACAACTTTTGTAGAAATAGGAAAAAGTTTTATTAAGTATAATCTTTCAACAATTTATTAAAGGTTGAATTTAAATGGTGCTTCTTCATATATCAAGGATTTTTTAATAAGGAAACTTATTTATAATATAGCTCTTTTGATATAGCTCTTTTCCTGTAATAACCAGTTAATTTAATACTTTTAGGCTGTCTCTATTTTGGGAGATGAAGTCTTTAGGTTCCAAATGACTCTCTATCCAGATGCTACAGAAGGAAAGGCCTATGCTGATATGTCTAAAGTAGATGGGAAACTTAGTCTCAAAGTGGGTTGTATCCAAATTGTTTATGTTCATAAATTCTTCATGTCTCTTTTGGTAAGTTTATTTATAAATGTATTTGTTTCTCATGGAGACCTAAATATTTTTGCCTATACATTTGAACCTAGATAGTCAAAATATTTACTAATAGGGCTGTGTAATAAATACCCAGATGCTGAACAGAATATTATAGTGAAGGAAATCCTTTACATGATGGATAACCAAATGAATTTTTGTTATCATTGTTACCATTCTTTCACATTTCCATAGCTATATAATTTAAAAGTACTTTTTTGATGTTTTAATTTAGGTATTTTCAGTGTTGTTTTATGAAATACCCTTAAAGGTATTTAGCTAAAAGATTGTTTTTATGGAGGACTAATATTAGAATTTACAACTTTTGATTATAATTGTGATCAACAAGGCCATAAAATTATTTTCTTTTAATTATTTCCATGTAAATGTCATGGGCTGAAGAGTTTTAAACTGTTTATGCCTCTTAGCAGGGCTGTTATTCAAGGCTTATAAGTCATGGATTTCTACCTAAACCATGAGAGGTGACAGTTGTTAATATCTCAGAGTATGTCTTTCTAGACTTAACACTCTCCATATATACAATCATAAATAGCATCTCTTTTAACTCTTTTATTTAGTTTTTATAGTAAATGCTTTTTAAAGTTAGTCCTGTTTTTTTTAGGAAATCTAAATATCAGTCTCTTCCAACAGAACTTCCTCAACAATTTCCAAACTGCCAAAGAAGCTTTGAGCTCAGCCACAGTCCAGGCTGCAGAAAGAGCTGCTTCCAGCATGAAAGACTTGGCTCAAAAGAGTTTCCGCCTTTTGATGGATATTAACTTGAAAGCACCAGTTATTATCATTCCTCAGTCTTCAGTATCGCCAAATGCTGTTGTAGCAGATCTGGGTTTAATCAGAGTTGAAAACAAATTTAGCTTAGTTCCTGTGGGGCATTATTCTCTTCCTCCAGTCATTGACAAGATGAACATTCAACTAACTCAGTTGAAGTTGTCCAGGTATAAATATATAATTCAGTTGTGTATTACTGCTAGAAATAGAATTCTCATAAAATCTTTGCTAGGGATAAAATACTCTCGTGATTTGTGGTTCTCATTCCTTATTTTTTATAATTATAAAACCATGACCATTGGTTTTTGGTCAGTGGTAATACTAGTGCACTTCATAGAATCTCTGTTTTGTCTTACTACATTTATAATGTGATTTTCTACATTTTATAAAAATTTCCTATTAAATTAAAATTTACTCAATAGCACTTAATTTAGATTTTTTTTTTTCACTTTGCATAATAGCTATTTTCTGTAGTTGGGAGAAAACTTCTTAAAATGTAATAAAAGTTAAGATTTTTTTTCTCATTTCCAAACCTTGTCACATTTGGGAATTCTCAGTGTGTTATCTAAAGGATTATTGAATCCAAATGGGAAAGTGTTGGGTCTGTTGAATGACAAGAATACTCATTTCGTTGTACAAATGGTTGTTGGCAGTCATGCTCGAAATGACTGTTACCATATGTTTATTTAACGTGTAGGTTTGGTGAGTTTTTCCCTTTGAGTTTGGAGAAGTACCAATAACACAAAACTAAGGATTAAGTAGACTTTCTTTGTCCTCCAAGTTTTGGAGGATGTTAACATTTGTTTGTATGACACTGCACTAGTTGCTAATATTTGAACGGTCTTTGTGAAAGTAGTAAATAGTGTAATAGTCATACTTTCTGTCTTTGAAATCAGCATGAGATAGGTTTTGTTTTAGAAAGCTCTTGATTTATTCTGATTTGGATTGATCTGTGAAAAGAAGCATGTTTTATTTTTTAATTTTTTTTTAAGAATCATGTTTTAAAGAATTACGATAGTAGCCTTCAGTATCTAGGAAAACTGTGGAAACTGTTACACAGTATGACAGTCTTCATTTTAAGATGTAAATTTCAAAAATATAAAATAAATTCTTATTTATCTTTCAGAACTATTTTGCAGGCTGGCTTGCCACAACATGACATTGAAATTTTAAAACCAGTCAACATGCTTTTGTCCATACAGCGAAATTTAGCAGCAGCATGGTATGTGCAAATTCCAGGGATGGAGATAAAAGGAAAACTAAAGCCTATGTTGGTAAGTGTATGTATACAGTGTATGAAAATTTCTAGGGAAGCTTTTATCATTGATCACAGTGCCATTCTAGCGTACATCAGAAGTGATGAAGCAGGGGTGCCTGGGTGGTGCAGTTGGTTGGGCATCCAACTGTTGGTTTTGGCTCAGGTCGTGATCTCAGGGTTGTGAAATCGAGCCCTGCATTGGGCGCCGCACTTGGCGCAGTTGTGGAGTCTGCTTGAGTTTCTCTCTGCCCCTCTTGCTTGTGCTCTGTCTGTCTCTCTCTCAAATAAATCTTTAAAAAAAGTGAAAAAGCATTAAAAAGGAATACTTTGTTAACTGAAAAGAGGTCATCCTAATTCTCACACTTTTCTTTATTTCACTTTAGTCACATACCTGGTAAACCCAGCAAGAAGTCTGAGATGAAACCCATTGGAGTCTACTGAAAATATTAATAATTTTGGAAAGTTCTATTAAAGTTTTAGGCAGTTGAATGCTGAGACAGTATAAAGTAATATTTAGATACCACATTCAAAGCAGCTTAGGAGTATTTTTTTTAAAAAGATTTTTAATTTATTTAAGAGAGAGAGCACGCAAGTAGGGAGAGGGAGAGGGACAAGCAGACTCCACGCTGAGCATGGAGTCTGACTCGGGGCTCAATCCTATGACCCTGAGATCATGACCTAAGCCGAAATTGAGTCAGTCACTTAACTGACTGAGCCACCCAGGCACCCTGCCAGCCCCCCCATCCCCCGGGTTAGGAGTATTTTTAATGTATAGAAGCACTCTTTTTTTTTTTTTTTTAAAGATTTTATTTATTTATTTGAGAGAGAGAGAATGAGAGACAGAGAGCATGAGAGGGGGGGAGGGTCAGAGGGAGAAGCAGACTCCCTGCCGAGCAGGGAGCCCGATGTGGGACTCGATCCCGGGACCCCAGGATCATGACCTGAGCCGAAGGTAGTTGCTTAACCAAATGAGCCACCCAGGCGCCCCTAGAAGCACTCTTTTAATTAGAAAAGTGGACATTTTAAATAGGTGAATATGTATATTTGGTAAGCATATAAGTATAGAAATATTTATAATAGTGTAGTTAGCAGGTCATGTGTTGGCTCACAGGGAGAGATGATACTAGTCAAAGATGCTTATGGAAGTATAGGAATCCTATGGTTCTTTTGTACCTGTGTGTGAAACCATTGAAGCCAAACAGTAGGGGATAGGGGAGGAGAGAAAGTGACTAAACAGAGTGTGTGAAAAACAAATAAAAATTTATTTTTCATACCTGTGATTACTTCAGAGTTAGTTCTTGATAGAAAGGGTCAAAGCGGAGTTCTACTAGGGAAGAAGTTAAAACTGAAGTTTATTGTAGGGATCAAAGGTCCTGTGTGTGGTTATGAGTGGATGCAATATGTGGGACGAGTGTCTATTTAGGGTAGTCATAAAGACTTCTCTCTTTCAGAGTATGTGACTCTTCTTTTAACTTCTGCCTTGCTGTTAAGAGATTAGATTCCAGGGCTAATATTGGACCTTTTCCCCTTGCTTTCAAAGATTGTGTGGTTATAGGTTTGCTGAAAGCAAAAGTAAAACCTGTATGTCTATCAGTAGGAGAATGTGGACCAAACGATGGTATATTCATACAGTGGACATTATAAAGCAGATAACATGAGTGAGCTAAAACTATGTGAAACGAAATGGGTATATCCTAAACATAAAAATGGAAAAAAAATTGAGTTGTAAAATGATAGTACAATTCTATATTATTTCGAATTTTACAACAAGCAAGACAATGGACAGTGCTATATATTGTTTATAGGGAATGCAATAGCGGTAAGTGTAAGAAAGCATTCATGGGAAGAAGAATTCTCTAATTCAGCATAGTGTCTTTCTCTGAAAAGGAGAATAGAGGGAATGGGGTCTCAAAGAAGTAAACATGGGGCTTCAACCATATCTGTAATCGGGAAACAAGATCTGAAGGAAATATAGCAACTTGTAAGATTTGACAAAGCTAATGATAGGTACACTGGGGAGGATTATCGTATTCTCTCTGCTTTTCCTTTATGCTGGAAGTATTTCAAAAGAAACAAGAAAAACAGTAACAAATCCATCAGTTTAACGTCAAAGTGTGATCATCACTTTAACTAAAAGGACCCCTGTTAAATCAAGAATGTATCTGTAGTGGGTACAGTTTCCACTGCCTAATGTGTCAGCAATCCAGGCCTCTCAGAACACCCCCTCATTGGTATGAGTCTATGTACTTTTCCTGGGTCTGGAGTGCAGCTAAGAAAGGATATCAGGTAGGTAACATCAGTAAGTTGTTTTGGGTAGGTCAGCTTGAAGTTCTTAAACAACTGTGGGGCTATCTCTCAAATTGTCCTTCAGACTTACTGAGGGGTGAATCGAAGTATATGATAGGGTGCTCTTTTCAACCACAGGAAACCAGAGGAGGTGGTGAAGTTAGCTCCTTTTCAGGCAGTTGTAATATCTTGGTTGGTATCACACTCAGGAATGAATATACAAGGGATTTCTGGGGAGTTAAATTGACATCTGTTCTCCTAGGACTGGGGCTTGGGGCAAACAAGAAATCCTTGGTCATTATCTCATGCTAAAATATCTCCCCATTTTCATTTAGGCTGGGAATCAGGCAGCTCAATAGGGGCCTACTTTGGGTAACAATGCAGGGCTTGCTGGATCTCAGGACTCTGAGAGCACAACCTGAGCTGAAATCAAGAGTTGAATGCTCAGCCAACAGAGCCACTCAGGTGCCCCAGATTTCTCCTTTAAAGATTGAGAAACCTGAGTTAAGGAGGCTAAGAAACTTGGCAAACAGCACAGCCTGAAAGTGGTACAGTTGATACAGAGCTCCCTGATTCAAAAGCTCTTGATCTTCCTCCCTCCCTCCCTTTCTTCCATCCTTTCTATCTTTCTCTCTTTTCTTTCTTGTCACATATCCCCTTTCATAAAGGTAGGAGATGAATAAGATACTCCTTTCCTGCTCTGCGCTTTGGTTTTTAAAAATTCTTGTTAGATGCATTAGTTATTGTTCTAAGTGATACTATTCTTGATGAGTTGAACAGATATCTTAGGTTATGTCCAGATGCATATATACAGGGAATAAGAGCTACATTGAAGGAGAGAATCTTTTTACTTCTTGGTGGGGGTTAGAAACCGAACAGCACTCTTCATGTACTGAGTTTGGATGGAAGTGAAGTGGAGCTGGTTCTGGGCCAGAAGAGAGAGAGGCAGAGTGGAGATGAGGAGATAGAGGGGAGAGAAGCATAGGTCCAGGAACATACAAGAAAGATAGGAACAGACAAGGCAAGAAGAGTGATGGATGCAGGGGCTTGGGCGTGGGTGCAGGCAGAAGTGTGTCTGCACACACGAGGAGTATCTCATACTATACAAGATGAAATACTTCTCTCCTGTATTTACTGCCCCAACTCTTTGTTGTTGTTGTTGTTGTTCAGATGGACATTGAATTTGAGGAACTGTAAATTAAGACATGGATGTGATATTCTGCGTTTTTATTCCTTTATATTAACAACAACTTATTGTTGCTTTCTAGGTTGCTCTCAGTGAAGACGACTTAACAGTTTTAATGAAAATCTTGCTGGAAAATCTCAGAGAAGCTTCTTCACAGCCAAGCCCTACACAGTCTACCCAGGAGGCTGTAAGAGTAAGAAAAGATGTTCTGGGTGGGCCGGACCACCTCAAAGGTACAAATTGATGAAGATTTTTGCTTTGATCATGGAGAAAAATTAGTGTTAATGCTGTATTTATGTTTAGTGGTCTTTTTAGTTGTCCAGCATAATGTGGTATGAACTGATTCAATATTGTAGTGTTTACTGTGGAAAATTGGCTGGTACAGGGTCTGGGGCTGCCTTGGAGCTCCCAAGGAAAGGAGGTATGCACATTGTCTTCTATAAGGGGAGAGGCGATCTGTTGTCTGCAGGATGCATGTTTGCCCTTTACTTGTAAAATGTGAATTTGCTGAATTCAGGAGCCACCAAGATGGTAGACCTTGAGAGAGAGCAAATTAGGCACGCGGCAAAATAAAGTCCCAAAATAATAGAGAGAAAAGGGTCTTGGTATCCTACTCAGATGACTGACCCATAACAAAGCTGTGTAAAAACAGCTTTACTTATCTGGTTTTATTAGTGAATGATGTAGTCACATACATAAGGGAATTTTCCAGATTATTAGAATGGACTCTTTTAAAAGCACTGAGCCTTTTAAATTCAGTCATTTTAAAAAGATAATTTTTATAAAATAAAAGTGTCCTTCTTGCTCAAAACAGTTATATAAAATATACTTTTACTCTTTTTTCATCATTTAAAGTCATTGACGTGAACATCATGTTTTATTAGACTTGTAAATATTAGGTTAAAATTTCTGTGGCTGAAAAGATTTGAAGTACACCTTGTCCTTCTAATAAATGTCCCCAGACTGCTCTGCTTTTATAATGCTCAGATTATCAGCTATTACTTCAGAAAGTAATAGAGATAAAACTGCCAGTTAATAATACCATTAATATTGCTTCTCCTATAGTTGGGTCCAGTGTGTTTTGAAATATCACAAAATAAATGACTAGAGCAGTGTGCACAAAAGGTTTTTGTTTTAGGTGGATAGTAATGAGTGCTACATGAGTTTGGTGAGGCCAGCATCCCTCCCCAGATTGGGTTTATGCTACAGTACGGATAAATGCTAGATAAGCAGGCTCTTGCTATGGTTAGACAGGAACTATGTACAGATGAATAAAAATAGCAGGCAGGCTTTATGTGATTAATGATCTCATTATGTTCAGCTGTGGTCAATTTGTGTTTCTGGTTCTGGCTATATGGTTAATGTGGTCCTTGGGAAAACTTGTGAATTCAGATGAAAGCAGCAGACAGTGAAGATTGGAATATGAATTACTTTCAGGAAAAGTGAAGGAAAAAACCCCTAGTGTTTCCCGACTTGGAGAAGCCTTTATGTGGTTAAAGTTATGCAATGTTTGCTCTTCCAGTATCTTGTTAAGAGCACTTCCCTGTAAATGATCAAAGAGTAGAATCAATCTCCAAAAGAGATGATAAAATGACTTTGTAAGAGTGATTGACAAGCAGTATCTATTCTTAATCTTACCGTCTAAAAAGTTTTTTCCTAATAATGAAGGAATGGACAAAATTACTTCTTGAAATCTCTTTTACCTCAGAATTCCAAAGGCTCCCTGCCCCATATTGTATTTGAGCTCTGTTTGACTCTGCTATGAATTATATTCTGTTCTTGTCAAGGGTAATGAGTTGGGTGTTTCGGTAATGAAAGATAGTGAGAATTGCACTGTGCTGGCAGAGGACCTGTTACTATCTAGTTGTCTGTTCAAGGACAAAGTTATTTTTCTGTGCCTCCAATTTCATAATCTCTTGACATTGGCTTATAACCATTTAAGTTAAATGCTTTGATAATTGTAAACTACTCTATTATGAGCAGTCTCACTCTGGGGGTGCTTTTTAAAAAAGAGTTGTCTTGATACTGTACAAGACCCCCTCTTTTTGTTGCTTTTTAAAAAACGTAGATGGCCTGCCCCTGTCATTTTGCCCTGTGCTAAACATATAGAATAAATCATTGCCATTTTAATTGTCTTATAATATGGCTTAAAGGATCCTAGAAAGTATGATACATATTTAGAATAATAAGTTATCTTAGCTTTTTAAATAAGTATAAAATAATGTACCTACTTAAAGCTTTTTAATTTTCATTCTTATGTTTGATCCGTCAGAACAAGATTTGCCAGAATCAAAGCTTTCTATGGACCAAAGTGTCACTCTTCAATTTGACTTTCACTTTGAATCTCTTTCCATTGTCCTTTATAACAATGATATCAACCAGGTATGTAGTAAATGTCTTTATTTAGAAAAAATCTTTAGCTCTTGATATTTACTTTTAGAATATTGGCATTTTTTGATTTGACTAGTTAAAAAATTAATATGTCTCTTAAATTCTGTTTGGCCTACAGAATATACATTGGTCTTGCTCTTTCTTCACTTTGTTAGTATTTCTAATCTTACTCAGTTAAGGAAAAGTTTTTACTTCTTTCCAAGTAACATCAGCACTGAAACCACTTAGATCCATCTCTAGTAGAGGAATTTTATATGTGAATAATTAATTATATGTGTAATTTTATTACATAGCTATATATGTATACATATGTAACTAAGGAGAATAATTTAGTAGTAGCTTTAGAACATTAAAAGATTCTTTTAAAATTCATGATTATCCAGGATACATAAGCATTAATTATGTTTCTTTTTTTGCATTAATTATGTTTCTATTGAATAAATATTATATGTAATAGATATGTATGAAAGATACGTATCAGTGGATTGAAGAACCAAGATCTAGTGCCATGATTTGAAGTAATTAATGTACCAGTGGTATTTTAGAAAGTTATTTTTTGTTATGTAGATAGTATCTTTAATAAATATTTTTATTAGATCAGTTGTCATAATACTCACAATAAATACATCATATGATAACCGTAGTCTGCATTGATTATATCTGTTGTTAATGTTTATTTATGTTACCTTATGTTTTATATTGTTTTCTCAAGAGTTACATAATATTCATATATTATTAATGTTGAGCCTTGAGCTAGTATTTGCCATTTATGCAATGAAGTACTTTCATTTCTAATGTTTAATGTTAATGAAAAAACAGAAAATGAACTATTGGAAAACGAACAGTGAAATGTATTCTTCATTTCACTTAAGGTACCATCATTCTACTGGTTCCCCAGCCTTAGAATGTTGGTATCTTTTTTTACTTCTTTCTTTGTTGACCTTTATTCATTAGACACTGAGTATTGTCATTTTTTTCTTTGTTCTTTCCCGTCACTTCTCACTACTACTTTATTTGAAACTTCTTCGTTCACCCTACTGCAACGGCTTCCTTGTTTGTTGCTCTTTTTCCTTTCATCCACACTAGACAGTGGCACAAGTTCAGTTTCCTAAATGAATCTCATGTAGCCATTTACAACTTCCCATTCCACTAAAAACCACTCAGTATTATGTTATCTGAATTTTAGCTTATTAAAAAAGTTCAGTGGCTCCAAGTTGTTTACATCAGTAACTGTATAGTGTGATCAGCAGATGCGTCACAGGTCATTTCTGTATTAATAATTACAGACCAAAAGTTTGTGAATTATTTACATTTTTAAAACTTACATTCCAAATTTGCCAATGATGTCAGTAGTGCCTGAGCCACGTGCATGCAGTGTACTGTGTGTGTGCAGCGTGACAGATGCAGAGTTAGAACGAGTGTGCCCGGAATGGCGCCTCACCGGCAGCCCTCATATCAGTGCCGTCGTCCATAGGGAGCAGTTGTAACTGAGGTTGTTCACTTCCCTGAAGAGATTTTTGTTGGTTGGTTTGTTGTTGTTGCTTTCTTTTTTGCGGGAGCGGTTGTTGTTTTAGTCTGGGCATACAGACTTTACCTACAGAATTTGGAGGTAATGTGTTACGATTAAATAAAGATTGAGTTCCTTTTTCCTGTAAATGAAAGTTTAAATCTTTGGTTGGAGATTTGAGACCTCGGTTAGGCCCCTGTATTTCCAGCCCTCATTCCCTACCATTCTTTTTTTTTTTTAAGTTTTTATTTAAATTCTAGTTGGTTAACATATGGTGTAATATTGGTTTCAGGAGTAGAATTTAGTGATTCATCACTTACATATCCTACCATTCTTTAATTGGAATATTCAAGCCTAAGCAGCTTGTACCTTGTGCCCTTGGAGCACCTTTGAACTGTTTACTCATGTTTTTTCCCCATCTAGAGTATCTTCTACCTCCTCTTAGCCCGTACAATCTCACCCAGCCTCTGAGGCTCAATTCACTTCTCACTTTCATAAATTTTTCTCAGCCCACAGTGATCTCTTTGACCCTCTGAGCTTTTGTTATTTGTATTCTTTACCTAATCACTTAATATTCTTTGTGGAATATGGGAGGATTAAATATGAATTAAATAAATGACTACATGTCAGTCTTTGATCAGTTATAACTTATAGCATCTCCTTGTGATGGTTCTTGTAATGTATTTCTATTTTCTATATTTGTTAGGGTGTAAGCTCACTGAGATCACCTACTATGTCTTGTTCTTTCTCATAAACACATAGTTCCTATCACAGTGTTTTTTTTACAGAAGAGCTCTTTAAATATTTATTAGTTAGACTGATTAATAAAAATATTTCCTGATTATTTGCATTAAACTGTGATGTAAATTTTCATATATTAACCATTGTTGAATATCAGCATGCACACACATATTTTTTTGTATATACCTATACACTCACAAACATACATATTATTGTTTTATTCTTATGTTTTAACACCCATGCTTTTAAATTTTATTGATTTGCCTTTTGTCTCTGAGTTAAGAAATGTGTTTAAAAGTAATTGCCTACTATTTAAAGATAATTGATTCTTTTGCTTGAAAATATGCCACAGGAATCCAAACTTTCATTTCACAATGACAGTTTCCGGCTTGGTGAACTCAGACTACATCTTATGGCCTCTGTAGGGAAGATGTTTAAGGATGGCTCAATGAATGTCAGCCTTAAACTTAAGACATGCACTCTTGATGATCTCAGAGAAGGCATTGAGAGAGCAACATCAAGGTTTGTCATCTCTGAACTTGCTGTACATTATGTAAGATTGACATTGTACCTTGCCTTGCTGCCAGGCATTGATTGCTAGGCTTGGGATTATCAAAAGAGGTCTTTGGTCGTACTTCAGTTTGAAGTGCATCAAGAAGTAGTGCTAATATCAGATTCAATTGCTTTTAAGTTTGAATTAAAGGGGCATTTAATAATAAAATGGAGTACCGTCTTAAAAGCAGGAACTAAGAGAATGTTAGAATTTTAATAATGAAATCCACATGGGGTGGTTTGTTGGTAATATTTTTCTAAATTGTCTCCAGTAGGCAGGATTTTTTTTTTTAATGTCTGAAAGTTTTAAATTTTTGTCTTACTTATTTTGTCTTTATACATATATTTTTTAAAGATTTATTTATTTGAGAGAGAGCACAAGTGGGGTAAGGAGCAGGAGAAGCAGACTCAAGTGGGGTGAGGTGTAGAGAGAGAGAGGGAGAAGCAGACTCTCCGCTGAGCAGGGAGCCTGATGTGGGGCTCAATCCCTGGTCTCCAGGATCATGACCTGAGCTGAAGGCAGACGCTTAACCGACTGAGCCTCCCAGGTGCCCCAATTTTGTCTATATATTTTAAAACAGTGTTCTGAAATTTCTTTCAGAGTTTTACTAGAAATGGAATCCCTAGCATTTTCACCTTATCAACCCAGTTTTAAAACATTAACTTATATCAACCTTCAATAAAGTGGGAAATAATGTAACTTTAATAGTGAAATTATATTTTTATTCCTCCGTCAAATAATGAGACATAATATTTTTGTGCTTGATGTTCTTTGGAGAAAAACTATGCTGCTCCCTAAACTGGGACTCCACTGAATACATACTGGATACTTCTGAGCCCTTTGTTTTTCCTAGAGATGAATAAATGAGGAAAGAGTGCTAGCATGCAGCCAGCTTTTCTAGTTTGCAAATTTCGTGTTTGGGGTGGCAGTCCACTGTTGCGTAGGCAAGAATGATAAAGGCCTTCCTCTATTTGGTAACCTGCTTGTCCCAGCACATGTGAGGATGTGTGGGAACAATCATTGCAAACCCTTATTAAACACTGGCTGATATGAATTGGATTGAATACTTTTGGACTCAAATTATAGAGAATGTTTGGAGATAAATTCGTTCAGGGAGGTTTTATTTTGTAAAATAATATAAAGTGGTTGTCCTTTAAATTTTGTGGGACCATATTAATGTGTTTTGTTAATTGCTGAAATCCCTTTCAGTAGTCATTCATTCATTTTTCTGCTATTGCATTATAATTATAAAATATTCTGTAATTGCTTAATAACATGAATCATAGGAGACTATGCCTTGGTTGCTTATTAGCTAATTAGACTGTGGTTAACACTGATCTGTTTTCTATTAAGATTAAAAACTCGAAGGTGAAAGATTATTAAGATGTTTAGGAAATTTTTCACCTTTTAAATGATTTTTGCAAGAATAAAATAATGAATGTATATATTTTTTAGAATGATTGATAAAAAGAATGACCAAGATGACAACAGTTCCATGATTGATATAAGTTACAAACAAAGCAAAACTGGAAGTCACATTGATGCTGTTCTTGACAAGCTATACGTATGTGCCAGTGTGGAGTTTCTGATGACTGTGGCAGATTTCTTTATCAAAGCTGTGTCTCAGAATCCAGAAAATATGGCAAAAGAAGCACAGATTCCGCTACGGCAGACAGCCACAGCAAAAATCAAGATGGAGAAAGGTTAGCAGAATTTATCTGTTGTAGATGACAACTTGTTAACAAAGATTACAGACAAGAAAAAGGATGAATGGACAATTTAAGAAAGTAAAATTGCTCTTTCCAATTTAAATATATTCTGTGGAAAAACTTTAGTAAGCATAAATTTTTCAGAGTTAGAGTAGAAATATTTATCGGATTAGGGGCTAGGAAACACCTGCTCTGGTTCCAACTCTGCCATTAACATTGCCTTACTTATCCAAAAATTGAGGGAATTAATCTGGGTCTTTGGTTGGCAGCCTGTTTTATAGAAGGGCAATCTTTTATTTAAAGAAAATATATGGAAGAATTATAGCACATTGAAGAACAATTGAACAAATAGAGGCAGAGGGTGGGCGTATTGGAGCACCTAGCATGATGCCCCTGGACATCACTATAAACACCTTAAACTCAGTGGAGTGTTTGTGGATGTCTGGTCTTAGTGTACATTGAAGTCACTTCCCTGTTCAATAAATTGTTTATTCCAGCATTACCAAGTAGACCAGTGATTTTCTTTGTTAAATTATGACTCTCTAAGGTGAGGCATTTATCTTTCTAATGTATAACTCAGCAAGACTGGAAAATGCCATTTATTGGCAAGGTCAGAATTTGATTTTTCCATTTACCTTTCCTAAACAGTAATCACATATGATATCTCTATATTCATACACATATTTAATGTATTTATACTATAGATTGTAGGACACTATGTATCTTATGGTAAAGTCAAAGCGAACTTTGATAAAAAGCGTCTCTTATCCTCTTCCTGATATTCCCCTCTCCTGTTTTCCCCTCCTTGTCCCTGCAACATAGCATAATACACACTCATGTACATAATGTACACACCTTAATTCTGACAAAAATAACTTCAAAATAAGATTATTCTTGCTAGGTCAAAGTGGAAATGATCTTCTTATGACAGAAATCAGATTGCATTATCCCACACAATCAGCATTTGTTAATAATCATTTATCATTAGTATTAATCAACTATTAATATTGTTAATTCTACCATATCTATTATAGCAAGATATTAGAAACAGCTTAGTGACTTATAGACAACATATACTCAAGAAACAAGAGATATTTTACTACAACTTTTTTTGGTTCCTATTTTTTTTTTTCTTCAGATGACTCTGTAAGACCAAACATGACTTTAAAGGCCAAGATCACAGATCCAGAAGTGGTATTTGTTGCCAGTCTGACGAAGGCTGATGCTCCTGCTCTGACAGCCTCATTCCAGTGTAACCTGTCTCTGTCAACATCCAAACTTGAACAGATGATGGAAGCTTCTGTGAGAGATCTTAAAGTCCTTGCTTGCCCTTTTCTCAGAGAAAAAAGAGGAAGAAACATTACCACAGTAAGAATTAGTTTATTCTAAGCTTGGATTGAAAATGGCAGAAATGGTGGATTCATAGAATCCTAGAACGTGAGAGCTCTGTAAGACTTCAGAGATTATTTACTACAAACCTGAGGTTTTACAGATAAGGATGTTGAGTTCCAAAGATGTTAAATGATTCAGCCATAGCTGCTAGTGACAGAACTGGGAACTACCTTTAGACTCATTTTCTTTTCATTGTGCCATCTTTTGTTGAGCAGTATTTGAATTTTAGTACAAATCAACATTCCTTTTGAGCTGTTTCTGTTGTTTACCACAGTATATCCAGTGAATGACTGAACGAATGCATGAACAATTATTAAAATCTTTAAGCTTAGAATGAAAAAAAATTCATTTGGAGTCATGAGACCAAAAGAGATTGTGTTTTGCTGTTTTAAAAGTTAACTTCAAAAAATAAAATAAAATAAAAGTTAACTTCAATTATGTGTTCACATTATTGTTGAAAAATATGATTTTAATTAACTTAATTGCCATACCAATAATTTTTAAATGTTAAATTGAGGATTTAACATTAAAAAGGATCATTATATGACTCATTTGCAGTGTTATTTTATTTTTTTTAAGATTATTTATTTATTTATTTATTTGACAGAGAGAGACACAGTGAGAGAGGGAAGACAAGCAGGGGGAGTGGGAGAGAGAGAAGCAGGCTTCCCATGGAGCAGGGAGCCTGATGCGGGGCTTGATCCCAGGACCCTGGGATCATGACCTGAGCCGAAGGTAGACGCTAAACAACTGAGCCACCCAGGCACCCCTGCGGTATTATTTTAAATTAAAATTTGTGGGCCAAATGGCTTACAGAAAGAAATGCAATGCTAGGCTTAGTCAATACTTTATCATGAAGCATTCTTTAGCAGGATCATCTTTTGGCCTGTCACAGAAAGCTTGTATTAATCCATTAAAAGCTCATCCTAATTTTTTTTAAATGAAAGTTAATGCAACCCTAATTCCTTATTCAATTCAGGTGCAAGGTTAGTTTATTTCCTTGATGATATATGTATATAAATATAAGCTTCATAGTTTTAATACATCGTTGGATTTGAAGATTTGAAATTTGTTCTTATAAGGACCTTAGCTGATATTCAAGACTGACCTCTTGTTGATCATATGGAAACTGTTCATTACCTATCTTACCACAGTCTTTTTTTAAGGTGTTAACAGGACTCCTTGTTTAAAATAAGTTTCAGGTGATTTAGTAGTCATAAAAATTACAATGAAATAGCAGTTTAATTTCCTCATATACTTCTTTGTGAATATAATACTTTAACATAGTCTTTACCTCATTTTTACAGATATTTTAAATGCATGTTTTACAGAGGGCATCATTAAAACGTATTTTAGTGAAAGGAAACATTTTAAACTTCTATTAGTAAGTGTGCATCATTACTTAAGAATTTGACGTAGAGGAATTGATCAGAACTGCTTAAAATCCTTTTCCAATGTTAACAGATTTGTCATAGTTCAGAAGAGCCCTCACAAGAAATTCTCAGCTAGTTTAATTTACCTTTTGCTTTTAGTAGTAGGCTATAGTTAAAGATCTCCAGTTAAGTAAGACATATTCTTGTGTGTATTTTATATGTGTGTGTGTGTATATATAAAACAAATCTATTACTAAGGAAATGTGAATTTGATTTATTTGTTTTTAGGTCTTACAGCCCTGTTCTTTATTTATGGAAAAATGTATGTGGGCCTCAGGAAAACAAAATATAAGTATTATGGTTGAAGAATTTATAATTAAGGTTAGTGCCTATCATGTTATTTGGGTAAAAATTCGTATTTTTCTAACAATATCTTTTGATCTCTTTTGTAACTACAGCATTATGCTAGTCACCTCACATACTCAAACAGTAAATACCACTAACGTTAAAATGCATTTTTCTTTAAAGCAAATATTTATTTCTTTTTTAAAAGAGTACTTTTAAATATCTACAAATGATCAGTATAGTTTTTGTCTATTATTTTTGCATGTATGTGTGTTGGGGAGATTGGGGGACAACAGAGATAGGGTGGGAAGAGACGGGGAAGGAGGGATGGAAAAATGAAGTTGCTATTATTTGTCGTAAGTTATTTTTAGGTTTTTATTTGAGATATAATTTGAATTTAATAATTATGTAATTAAATGTTTTATTTGTCTTATAAAATATTTATGACAGATGAATGCTAGAAATAAGTTATTAGGATTTGCTTTTTTTTAAATCTCTTACATTTGAAGTATTGAAAAAAAAAACTCTCTCTTCTCCAGTGGCATTTGTATTTTTTAAATATGACCTCATGATTGGTTAGAAATGGAAGATTTAGAATACTTTCCAAAATCTATTTCTCTCTCTGTCCAAAGGACACAAAATTGAGGTTCTGATAGTAGCTTTACTATAAAATAGCCAATAGTGATTAAACCAAGGCTCAAACTAATGTCATTTGAATTACCATACAAATAACAATGTAGTTTTCTCTCAATATTTTAAAGTACTAGGTAGTTCTAGATTGTATTTTGTTAACAGATTTACTTTTTTAAAAACTTAAAGTATGGGAGGATTGTCTTTCTTTGTATATCAGTTTGTTTATTCAGCTAACACTTTTTGAGCTCTTACTATGAATGAAAAATGTCCTGTTCAAGGCATTGGGGATACGTAGTCCCTACCTTCAAAAAACTTAAGGACATATTAAGAAGCAAATCAGTGAGTCCAGCTTTCAGAGGTAGAGGCATGCACAATATGCTGTTGGGAGCACAGACAAAGGGCCTCTAACTCAGACCAGGACATCAGGGTAAGCTGCCTTGAAGTGGGGCTACTTGAACTAAGTTTTGAAAATCTGATGAAGGTTAGATGGAGAGGGAGGATGAGGATTATCAAGACAGTACCGACAATATGCACAAAAGCAGAGGTATGAAAAACCCTTTACAGGCTTAGAGGGGTGATCCCACGTGGCTGGAGAGAAGGGTGTGGTGGAGTTGTAAGATTGAGAGCACTAATTATAGGTGACATTAATAAGGCAAGAATGAAAAAGTGACTTAGTTGACAGGTAAGTTTGGGAAGAGGTACATACCAGATCCTTCTTTTGGTGTTGTAATCATATATTCTTAGCATATTAAACAAGTAGAGGTTGTGAGAACTGAACAGTATAGGAATCCACTTAACTTATTTAACCCAGTATTGCTCAAACTTTGGGAAACCCTTGCTAGCTAATTGATTAGGCATCAGATCACAAAGGCCTTTGTGTCCTAAGCTAAAGAGAAGTTTGAACTTTATCCTTAAAATTAGGGGAAGTTGAAGATTTTAGGCATAGGAATGGCATGCCCAAGTTTGGGTTTTAGAAAAATAATGCTGGTGGAAGTGTGGAGGGTGGGCCATGAGGGTGCTGACTGGACCTAGAGGACATTGTCAGTGTAGAACTAAGGCACAGTGATAGGAATGAGGAGGTGAGCAAAGATACTATACAAAGATAGTAAGAGGTAGATTTTGCAAATCTTGGGCTAAGTGTTAGGGGATCTGTGGTGATTCATAGGCTGTTTGTATCAGTAAGACAAATGAAAACCATGTATGTATATACCTTGATGAGGATCATACGCTTTGGCTTAGTTAATGCAGCAGCTTGAAAAATGAAAAATTCAGTTATACTTCTACATTTTTCTGTTCGCATAACACTATTTTACTCTGAATTGATCAATTTTAATTTTAGGTTTTGACAGTTGACATATAACGTTAATTACTTAATTCCAGAATAACCTGGGCAGAAATCATTGTTATGAGGTTAGTTGTCTTGACATATGATTTTGTGTATTCCCTTTGGTTTTCCTTAGGTATGAACGTAATATATTTAATATTTACCTATATTTAATTCATTTTTAAATTTTCATGTTATGTATTCTTCTCATCTGAGAAATAATTTATTCTTAAAATTTTTCTGCTTGCTTTTTTAAAGATTTCGCCCATAATTCTGAATACTGTGATGACAATCATGGCTGCTATGTCTCCAAAGACAAAAGAAGATGAATCCAAAGATACATCTAAGGAAACAGAAAACCTTTGGGGTGTCAAACCTATTAGTGATTATAACTCTTGGTTTCTTGGTGTTGACCTGGCAAGAGAAATAACAGAAAATTTCAAAGACTTTCAACATCCATCAGTAGAGGAAAAGTGTGCTGTTGTTGTAGAGTCGGTTCAGGTTACCTTAGAATGTGGCCTTGGGCATCGAACTGTACCTTTATTACTGGCGGAGTCTAAGTTTTCAGGAAACATTAAAAATTGGACTTCCCTTATGGCTGCTACTGCTGACATGACATTAGAGGTATGACCACAGCATTTAGTACTTCCAGAGCCAGCTTCTCAAAAGTACAGTTGCAGGATTAAGATGTGAGCTTTTCTTGTTTGTGCATGGCCGCAGCAAGTGTTTATATATGAATAGATAACACATTCTAACATTTAACTTGTTGATGTGTAGTAGTATTTAGTTGATCATTATTTTTTAAAGATTTTTTCTGTTAAACAGTTTGTTTATGGCAGTAAAGTAAGAAAGAAAAGGAAAATGCACCCTCTTTAGAGAGATTCTTTGTGTCTTTAGGCATGTTAAAATGACGATTGACATATACATTAATTACATAATATTTTTTCCTACTGGTTATAGAAATATGTGGTTAAAGTTGAAAGACTCTGTTATTATAATTCTGTGCCTTTCCAGGTTCACTATTACAATGAGACCCATGCTGTTTGGGAGCCACTGATTGAGAGAGTGGAGGGGAAGAGACAATGGAATTTAAGGCTTAATGTAAGGAAACCATAAAATATCTTTATGTTGAACTGCACTAAGGGCATTCACTTACATTTTTTAGTTCAGTGATTCTCAAGATGTGGTCTAGGATTCTGGAGTCCCTTTCAGGGCGTTCATGGGATCAGAACTATTTTCAGTAATACTCAGACATTATATGTCATTTTTATTCTCATTCTCTCATGAGTATACGATGGAATTTTCCAGAGACTATGTGATATTGCAACAGAATGAATACTGAGGCAGAAATGAGAATCCACCTGTCTTCTCTTAAGGCAGGCACTAGAGAGATTTGTAAGTGCCCCTCTTTTTACTATTAAAGATAACTTTAATAGTTATCATTCATTAAAATATTAATTTTTATAATTTTATAATTAAAAATATTAAAATTATATATATTTATATATAGTAATATATAATATAATAATAATATTAAAAATATTCATATAATTATTTATGTTGAATATGAATAAATATTATTCAACATATAATTATTTTTAAATGAATAAAGTTTTCTCAGTTTTAGTTTCTAATAGAGTTCACGTGATAGGTATAATCCATATAAATGAAGCTTTTTGAGATCCTCCTTGGTTTTAAGAGACCAAAAAATTTGAGAAAACTTGAATTCTAGTTCATGATTTTTTTGTGTTACCTCTTTATGGTATTTCTTGAGAGCACTTCAGAATCCTAGATACCAAAGCACATTTTTCTAGACTAAAAGGAACGTGAGTTATATACCCTTAACAAATGATCACAACACAACTTTCTGAGGTAGCCTGACTGAAGTGTGAGGCACTGAAATCGACTCAGCAGATTCTTATTTTAAAGATGAGAAGTCACTTAACCTGTGTCCCAGTTTCCTCTCAGTGAAGTAGTAATATTTCTGACCTACCTGTCTCTGGCCCAGACAGGCTAACAAGTAATTTTTTTTAAGGTTTTTGAGCTCTATTAGAACAAAAACTATGATGGAATCTGATGGCTGGTTGAAAGCTTATCATATTTTTTATAGGTATTAACAGTAAAAAGTAGAAGGAATTCCACATTACCTCCAGTAAGGATCAGTTTAGACTTTAGGGTCATCTTAGATTCCTCATCAGCACATAAGGACTGACTAGTCAGGTGTCACTGGGTCAATAGCTTGTTCTGGGGAATGCACGAGAGACAAATATCGTAGCTGACTTTGAGTGCTTTCGTGGCACGATTCTGAACATTACCCCATGTACTGACTATACACTGAAAGAAAGATTGCTGATCTGTGCTAAATGTAAGTGAAGAATGATTATTTTTGAAAATGAAACATTTGAGGAGTTTTAATACAAAGTGACCAGTTTAGGGGAATTTAACTCTTTGAGAGTTTTTAAATTTTATTATTAACTGACTAATAAATGTGTTATGTTATTTATCATCATAGGTAAAGAAGAATCCAGTCCAGGATAGAAGTTTAATGCCAGGAGATGATTTTATTTTTCTTCCTGAGCCACAAACAGCAGTTTGTATTTCTTCAGGAGATACAATGAATATAACAATATCCAAAAGTTGCCTTAATGTTTTCAACAATTTAGCCAAAGTATGTTTGGTTTTTGCTTGGAATCTTTCAAATGGGATTTTAAATTGAAACTTGTATGGATTATTGATGTTTGTCATCAAAATTAATTTCTTAAAAATGTATAGTCTTGTTTAATTTTGGGGAAAAATTGCATTTTGCAAAAATTTTATTGTGATGTTATGTTCCTTTTCAGGGTTTTTCAGAGGGCACTGCTTCTACTTTTGACTACTCTTTAAAAGATAGGGCTCCTTTTACAGTAAAAAATGCTGTAGGTGTTCCCATTAAGGTGCAGCCCACTCATAATCTTAGAGTAATAGGCTTCCTTGAGAAAAGTGGTGTTTATGATGTTGATGCTGGTCAGAATTTGGAATTGGAATATGCTAGCATGGAACCTTCACGTCAAGGAAAATTAGCTATATTGAGCCGTCAAGAAAGCTCCTTCTTCACTCTAACCTTTGGTATGCTATATTTATTTTATTTTAAGGGCATATTTGGAATTGTAGGTGTGGGACTTATTTTTGATAAAATATGAAGATATTGCTGCAGATACCATGGGAAACAACATTTGTAAAGGCTTGAAGCAAATAATTGATAAACTCTTGTCTCGTTTTCTTCCTCTAAACTTGAGAAAATTAAATTTGATTAAGAATTACCTTAGAGGGGCACCTGGGTGGCTCAGGCACTTAAGCGTCTGCCTTCGGGTCAGGTCATGATCCCGGGGTCCTGGGATGGAGCCCCATGTTGGGCTCCCTGCTCAGCGGGGAGGCTGCTTCTCCCTCTCCCTTTGCCCCTCCCTCTTCATGCTAGCTCTTGCTCTCTCGCTAGCATCCTCTCTGTCTCTCTCTCCCAGTCACTCTCAAATAAATAAATAAAAATCTTTAAAAAGTTTCAAAAAATTAAAATAGAGAATTGCCTTCGATCGTGATCTTGGGGTTGTGGATTGAGCCCTGCGTCCAGCTCAGCACTCAGCTCAGAGTCTGCTTGAGATGCTTTCTCTCCTTCTGCCCCTACCCCCACTAACACACATCCAACTTGCTTTTGTAATAGTCTTCATTTTAAATGTCTGATTAAACACATGCACGTGCACATATGCTCTCTCTCTCTAAAATAAATAAATCTCTAAAAAAAAGATTTACCTTAGAAAACTAGATTTCTGTGCCCTTAAATTATACAATATGTAGTGTGCTTCAAAAAGAATGTGTGTTCAATGAGGAGAGGAAAATTAACTATATTCAGAAGTCCTAAAATATTGACAGTAATTATCACCAATACAAAGAAAAGGTGTTATTGCTATATAGTTGAAAGAATAAGGAACAGGTTGGATTTTGTTTAATACATTTCTTAAAAGTTTTAATTTTAATTCTAATTAGTTAACATACAGGGTAATACTAGTTTCAGGTGTACAATATAGTGATTCAGCACTTCCATATACTGGTACTCATCACAACAAGTGCACTTCTTAATCCCCATCATCCATTTCACCCATCCCCCCCACCCCTCTCCCCGCTGGTAACCATCAGTTTGTTCTGTAGGGTTAAGAATCTGTTTCTTGGTTTTGTTTTTTGTTTTTTTTTTTTAAGATTTATTTATTTATTTTGAGAGAGAGAGAGTGTGTGTGGGGTGGGGGGGAAGAGGGGCAGAGAGAGAGAGAATCCCTGCTGAGGATGGAGCCTGACGCAGGGCTTAATCCTAGGTCCCCGAGATCATGACCTGAGCTGAAATCAAGAGTCAGATGCTTAACCAACTGAGCCACCCAGGCGCCCCTGTTTCTTGGTTTTAATACAACTTAAAACCCCAAGAGAAATTGTTTTGGGTCAAAAAATTTTATAACTAGTTTCTTTTCTTTTTTTTTTAAATTTTAGTTTCTTTAGTTTCCTTTCTTTGTTAGTTCCTATGTCTTAAAAAAGCATTTTGTGTAGTCATCAGTTTTAGTCATAAAGAAGAACACTCTTGTCATTATTTTAAATTGCTAAGAAGTACTCTGTCTTAGAGAAATACAGGTAAATTAACATTTGGAATGCTTCTCACTTACGTTCTGCCTTAGTACCTCATGGATATACAGAAGTTGCAAAAGTTCCTGTTGCCAGATCCGGAAGACGATTGTATAATGTACGGAATCCCAATGCCAGTCGTTCTGACTCAGTCTTGGTACAAATTGATGCAACTGAAGGGAGTAAAGTAATTACCCTTCGCTCTCCTCTGCAGGTAATGCACTAAAGTGAATTGTGTCCCTTCAAGTAAAACAAGAAGTATTCAGTCATTTAGCTGAATATAGGAAAATGGTAAAACATTAGGTCCATACTGATTATTCAGAAATAAATTGTAGATTAAACTGGCTGCTATTTCCAATCCAACCTACTTTTGTAATAGTCTTCATTTTAAATGTCTGATTAAACAGTCTTGTTATTTGAAAGCCCATTTTTGTTGTGGTCTAGGTTTAAAATTAATGAAACTTTTTGTCTATTTCTTTAAAGATTTAGAACTGGGAGTATTAATAATTATAGCTGGTTGTCAGATAGGATAACATTCCATTCTCTTTGTATATCACTTGGGACTGTCTTTTTCAAGTATGTGTGAAGGAATATTGGAATGATCTCCCCAGAAAAAAATTTTAGTATCTTAATCTTTTCTACCTTTAAGACTTTATCCATTTTTCTTCTGTGCATTATTACAGGTTTCATTATATGGTCATCAAAAGAACATTTCTTCCTACTTAAAACATCAGATATAAAATGAAAGGATTTCCATTTTTGGCCATTGTTATCTCTCAGTTTGCTATTAACTCTAGCCTATATTGTAGTTAAGGAAAGAGAGTTGTAGTACTTTTCCTCATGTTTCCTTTGCTATCCTTTCCTGTTTTCGCATGGTGCATTGAAAAAAGTTTTTTTTTTTTTTTTAAAGATTTTATTTATTTATTTATTCGAGGGAGAGAGAATGAGAGACAGAGAGCATGAGAGGGAGGAGGGTCAGAGGGAGAAGCAGACTCCCTGCCGAGCAGGGAGCCCGATGCGGGACTCGATCCCGGGACTCCAGGATCATGACCTGAGCCGAAGGCAGTCTCTTAACCAACTGAGCCACCCAGGCGCCCCGAAGAAAGGTTTTAATGGGGAAAATATTATGGCTGAACTCTTCAAAATTAATGTATATTATACACTAATAATGAACATAGAGGATAGAGCATGTGAATATCCTAGAAATTTTCAACTGCCCCTTAAACATCAAGTTTCTCACATATAACCTTTAAATATCCCAAAATGTTTCAATTATTCCTAAAAATATCTTCTAATACTGGGTTTGAAACTTTTTAGATCAAAAAGTCACTATGTGCAGCTCACACTTTTCTTTCAAGCATCTATATCTTTTTAAACAACTTGTATGTCTTTTTACCTAACAGATTAAAAACCATTTCTCTATTGCATTCATCATCTATAAATCTGTTAAGAATGTTAAGCTATTGGAGCGCATTGGAGTAGCCAGACCTGAAGAGGAGTTCCATGTTCCTTTAGATTCATATAGGTACATACTTCTTTGAATATACTAAGTTTTAAAAGGTTCACAATACATATTTTTAATTCTATGAATTGGGATCTATATTCTAGAAAAAATAACCTTCTATTTTCATTATCTAAAATATGTAAAAGCCGGCTTTAAGACATATATAAATATATTTATTTAGTCACTGAATTTACCAGATGAAAATCTCTTATTGTATATTCAGTGTTTTAGAATTTTCTGAAAGCTGTCTTTATTAGATTGCCTTTATATTTGAAGTGACTATTTTTTCTGACTTGTCACTGTTTACAGATTTTTTTTTTTTTCCAGAAAGTTCCTCCATGGGTTAGCTGTATGACTTTGGGCAAGTTTCTTAACCTTTCGTAGCCTTGTTTTCCTCATCTGTAAAAATTAGAATAATAGTATTTACCTTGTAGTGTTACCAAGAAGATTTAATGAGATTCTTTTTCTTAAGTTTTTGATAAAAATTTTTTTCCCCACTCTGTTATCTTTTTTCTCTAGATGTCAGTTGTTTATTCAGCCAGCTGGTATCTTAGAGAATCAGTACAAAGAATCCACCACTTATATTTCTTGGAAGGAAGAACTTCACAGGAGCAGGGAAGTCAGATGCATGCTGCAGTGTCCATCAGTAGAAGTCAACTTCTTACCTCTCATTGTCAATACAGTTGCTCTGCCTGATGAATTAAGCTATATATGTACCCATGAGGAAGACTGGGATCCGGCTTACATTATTCATCTTTATCCTACCCTCACTTTGCGGAACCTTCTCCCATATTCTCTAAGATACTTACTCGAAGTATGTCTCTTGTATTTTGTTTGACCTTTATTATTGCAGAGTGAATTCTGTTTTGTTTTGTTTTTTACTGTGTTTTTAGTTGAGGTCAGTATTTTCCATAGCATACTTTAATATTAATAACAGGAAAAACTGATACAGCATTAAGCATATGACAATCACTGTGCCATGTGCTTTACATGTCTTAACACATTTAATCCTTGCAATAACCTTCTGAAGTAGGTACTATTATTATTATTAGGCCCATTTTACAGATGAAGAAACTGAGTCACAGAAGGTTTAAGTAACAGGACCAAGAACCCACAGCTAGTAAGTTGTAGAGCTGGGATTTGAACCTAGGCAATTTGGCTCTTTTGCTCCCTTCCACTGAACTCTGTTGCATCTGCTATGAGTTAAGAACCATAATAATCTCTATTAATTAAGTAAAATTCCATTAGCTAAGGGATAGAAAAAAGCCAGTGGGGAAATACTTCATCTTACTTTATTCTAAAATTAATTTTAAAGTTTTTATTTTAAAGTTAATAGTATGATTATTTGATCCAGGTTTCTGTTGAACTTAAAATAATTTGTCTAAGAAATAACAGGGAACATTTTTTAGTAATGACGTATGGTAAATATTTTTAGATTTTCATGCCACAACATTTTAAAATACAAAAGTCTGGAAAGTGTTAGAACCTAGATTATTTCTTTTCTTCATCTGACAATGAGTCATCCCTGAGGTGTAAAGACTAAAATGAATTAAATGAACTAAATAGTACTTATGCAAGAGAAGCTTTCAAAAAGAAAGCCTGATTTATTATGTGGCTATTATTCATTTCAAAAATAATTCTACCTTACTTAGATAGCTTGTCAGAATAGCTTGATATCACTTTCCTTCTCTTTATGTGGGAACCACTAGGCATAGTGTGTGAATAGCAGATGAAGCTGAAGCCCAGGCACTTAAGTGGCTCATCTAATGACATAGACAACAGCCAGCATTCCTTTTATTCTTGGCATAGATCTGACTTTTTTTTCAAAACTTATGGCCATTGGCCTACTTACTCATGGCCAAAAGACAGTTTCTGCTTTTGGCTATGATACAGTGTTTTCTTTTTAGTTGTTAGTGGTTATTGGACATTCATAATTTGTAAACATACTTCACTGAACACTTGTCAGTTAATCTGAATCTGGTAGATTATTTCTTAGCATTTTTATAAAATATGGATGTTGCTATTGAAGAGGTTTTTAAAAAATCACTAAGCAAATTTAGTTTTTGTTTGTTTGCTTTTAGGGAACAGCAGAAACTCATGAGCTCACAGAAGGCAGTGCTGCTGATGTTCTACATTCAAGAATCAGTGGAGAAATAATGGAATTGGTTCTGATGAAGTATCAGGGCAGAAACTGGAATGGACATTTCCGTCTATGTGATACACTTCCCGAATTCTTTCTTGTATGTTTTTCCTCTGACTCCACAGAAATGATGTCAATTGACTTGTCAGTACATGTCAAACGAATTGGCAGCCGGATGGTGCTATCTGTCTTTAGTCCCTACTGGCTGATCAACAAGACTTCTCGGGTTCTCCAGTATCGTTCGGAAGACATTCATGTGAAACATCCAGCTGATTTCAGGGATATTATTTTATTCTCTTTCAAGAAGAAGAACATTTTTAGTAAAAATAAGGTGTGTTTTGGTTGATATAACAATTTAAAATAGATAAATTCCTAATCTGGAAACTCGTGAGTCATTTAAGCCTTCCTTAAATCCATTCTTAACAGTTTGCGAAGTGCCACTGGTATGAAGTAGGTCCAAGGAGACTTTTCAGGAATACATCAAGTGAGATGTTAGGACTAGCAAGAGTTTCCCAAAGCTGAATTGCCCTTTTCTCCATGGCCTTTAGAATTACTTCTGTTCTTTTAGTAGTGTCAGGTAGAAATCTTGATTTTAGGTAGTTTACCAGTGATGAAATAGCGTTTCAGAAGGTGGAAGAGTTGGATTTGGCTTCTGTTAACCGAGCCCACCTAGGTATGAAGCACTAAGCCAGGCCTCTGAGAGAGAACCTAGTGCCTAACCCTGGTCTTTTGTGCTCTGGTCCCTTCTTTCCTTTGTAGATTCCTGTCTTGGAATTGCTTATCACACACTGTCCCAAGTCACTGCTAGGCCTTTGTCTGTGCTGCACCCTCTGCTAGAATGCCTCTTCCCCTCTTCTTTCCCTGTCTGCCACATCTTTTCTGCTTACCTGCTTTTCATTCTTTCGCTGTCATTGTGCTCAGGCCTGACATGTGTGAAGGATTTCTAACTGTCTAAAATGGAGCTAGGTATTACATCCATGTCCTCTTAGAGCAGTGGTTCTCAAATTTCAGATTAGAATCACCTAGAGGACTTTTCATATACATTTCTGGGTTGTGCCCCTATTTGAGTCAGTAGGTCTGGGTAGGGTCTGAATATTGCATTTCTAACAGATTCCCAGGTGGTGTTGATGGTGCTGGTCCAGCCACCACATTTCGAAAACCACTGTCTTAAAGTATCGATTAATCCATAGCGTTGTAATTACCTGTTTATGTCTCTTACCTCTGGTTGTCCTCAGGCTTTTTATAATCTAGTTGGGTAGATGGAGGAGCACAATTAGATCTCTTCTTTAAAACTTTATCTAACTCTCATAGCTAGAAGTAAACTTTTTACCTTCTCACCTTGATAGCATTTTGTACCACTCATGTAGCCATTAATCACCTTGAGTCTTACATCATAATTATTAGTATGTGTTTCCCATCTCCTTGTTTAGTTGGAGCTCATTAAACAGGAACTGTGTCCTGTTGTCTTCCATTCTGCTGATCATGATGCCTTTCATTTAACATTTGCTGAATAAAGACATAAATTCTCTATGTTTTAAAAACTTTAAGAATTTGTTAGTTAGCTCAATATCTTAAGTGTAACACTGGAAAAATGTCAGTTTACATTATAGTTTTTTTTTTAAACAACAAAGGGTCTCATTGGTGTACATCTTTAAATTCACTAAACTCATTGCATAGGTGAATGGGAAGATCAGAGCTCTGCTTTTATTCTACTGGCCTCTAGAATATTTGTGGTTCTGTGACCCACTGGCAGTATGGCTTTGATTATTTTTTTTCTGTGTCCCATGTTACTAAATAAATTTCTAGTGGTCTAACAACTTTCCCTCAAATAAAATATTAATATAGTCTTTTAGGTTTCTTATATGATGGTTATGTGTTCTCTGGTGTAGGTACAATTAAAAATTTCAACTAGTGCCTGGTCCAGTGGTTTTTCATTGGATACAGTGGGAAGTTATGGGTGTGTGAAGTGTCCTGCCAGCAATATGGAGTACCTGGTAAGATTCCGCTTGCTTACTTACCTCTGACTTCATTCACATTTTCTTTAGTTCAGTAAACCAGCTAGATTCTAAGGGGTACAGAAATTTGAATTCTAAGTATTATGTAAAGGACTGTTATCTCTATAAATTTCTGTGGCCACTAGTATCAGGACAAAACCTGAATTTATAAAAAGTTTAAGACAGTAAGTTGAATCCTCATTCCATACTGTTCTCTGCCAAATGTTTCTTAAATATTAAATTTGATTATGAAAATTTGAGTAATCTGATGCCAGTGGACCTGTTTTATTGCCACTTTGAAATTTTCATCTTAGTTCATTAACAGAGTGATGATAAAACAGCAAAACTTGAGCTTCTCCACTAATTATAAAACAATTTATGTTTGGAATGTTAAAAAATGAATACAAATAAAATAAATATTATGAGTCATCATTAGTTAGATTACCACTTGATATTTCTTAAATTGATTTCTGATGGAGCCAAATTAACCAAAAATTTTTCTTAGTGAGAAGCTAATCAGTAGTTGAATATGGCTTATATTAGTTACTTTATTTAACAAGCATTATTTTAAAGTATTTTAAGAAATCCGTGTATGAATGGGATATGTGTGTGTACCTTTCAAAGAACCTATATAAAGTACTGGGAAATGATAAACTTGTTTGTTCCTTTACACAGGTTGGTGTTAGCATCAAAATGAGTAGTTTTAATCTTACACGAATAATTACTCTGACTCCCTTTTGTACCATTGCAAACAAGTCATCATTAGAACTAGAAGTTGGCGAAATTGCATCTGATGGCTCAATGCCAACTAATAAGTGGAACTATATTGCTTCTTCAGAGGTAAAATTTTCCTTTAGTATAACTGGCTCCTAAAACGTACAAATAAATATGACATATAAATAAGAATTGCATATACTTCTTTGTTATACCCATTTTGCTACAATATTTGTGTATTAAAATATGATGGCCAACTTTGACTTTTCTTTTGCACTGTAAACACATGTTAAAAAAAGAAGAATAAAAGTACTGGTAATATTTATCACTAACCAGTCTAGAGGGCTAACACCCAGCCTCTAGTTCTTCCTATATGTATAGAACATATGGATGTGTATTGTGAAAAGAAGATAAAGATAATGTACTATGAATTATCTCAATAGGATAATGTCTCTGCATTCAAGAAGCATATAATCTTGTTGGCGAGCTGAAGACTCATATAAATTAACACATGGAAGAAAATATATGCTAAGTTATAGGTGGTTTTAGAATTTCTGAATAGATTATCTGAAAGTTTCCTTGAAAATTTCCTAAAATTCAACCCCCTCACTTTACCGAGAAGGAAATTGAATCTCATACTTTTCTAAAGTCAGTACAGTCATTAGAAGTCACCATCATTGTGGCCAAGATCGAAAGAGAGTGTTTCATAGAAGAGGTGGGATTTGAACTAAACACTGCAGGTTCAATAAGATTTTAGGAGTGAAGAGAGTGAGGGAAAGAGTGAGGAAGAGGACAGGTGCAAAGATGAGTATTACTGCTTGAATTTGCCTGAGTTTTCAACCAAACCAGCTGACCTTAAAGAAAGAACCATTCTTCTGTACATCTCAAAAACAAAATTGTATATATATTTAAAAACTTAGCAAGAAGCTTAAGAGGAGGGATTCCAGTTACACTAATTCAGAGCTCTGAGAGGCATGGGCTTTCCAAGGCTCTTAGAATGATCTCTGTAGACTTGGCAACAAATAAATGCTCATTATCATTGATGTGGGTTTGATAATAGTAACATTTTTATTCAGAAATAGAATTTATCTAGTATTGTATAACAGAGGGACATTTTGTATTAGGAACTAAAACCTCAGTTGTATAGATAAGGCTCAGAGAGGTGTATGCTTTGATTAAGATCAAACAGTTAGGAAGGTAATGTTAGGATTTCCAGCAAGGTCTGTGGTGTTCTCTTCTCCGCCTTCAATGGTCTTTCTAGTTTATCTAGGATAAGATAACACTGAAAGAATTCATAGTGCATTAAGGAATTATAATGGGATATGCACAAAAGCAGATATTTTAAGATTATAGGTTTTAAATATTCAAGATATTTGAGGCATTCTTAATCAGTAAGCTCTTTAGTTTCTCATAATTATTCTATAAGTGCATACAGACTAATAGATCTATGTTCTTCCAATGGAGTTTCTTTGGTTTCATAAATAAGCCTTATATTATTAATAATTTTAACATGAGATGTGGAGGAAATATTTTAAGAAACTTAGTAATAATTGTATCATGATCAGATTTAGAATTGAAAACTTAATTAGCCATTGTCTTATTTATACCCCAGTATTGTTTTAAGACTGATCTTAACTTTTATATTTTTAGTGCCTTCCCTTTTGGCCTGAAAATTTGTCAGGCAAACTTTGTGTGAGAGTGGTGGGCTGTGAAGGATCCTCCAAACCATTTTTTTATAACCGACAGGATAATGGCACTTTATTGAGCTTAGAAGAGCTGGTATGTTTGCATGGTTTATTTTAATTTATTATTTTATTATGTTTTCATGTTTATTTATTTATTTATTTATTTATTTATTTATTTATTTATATTATGTTAGTCACCATACAGTACATCATGTTTTCATGTTTTAAAATACAGTGTCTTTGATTTTTAAAATTTGCTATGAAATATTTTATTGAAACATGCTATAAAATCTGCTAATTGAATTTAAATTAGAAAAAACAGAATTCAACTGGAAAAAAAATCTGGTAATCATTTAAAGGTGCTAATATATCTATTTGTGAGGTGCTATATATATATTTGTAAGAGATCAGAACCAGTGTGCTTTTCAGTAAGAACTTAAGAAAACAGACTTTTTGTGTCTACATAACTGATTATTCCAAATGTCATTGCAAGTTAAACCAATACCTCAAACAGAATTTTTTTTTTCTACAATAGAATGGGGGTATCTTGGTGGATGTAAACACTGCTGAGCATTCAACTGTCATAACCTTTTCTGATTACCACGAGGGATCTGCACCTGCCTTAGTGATAAACCACACATCACAGGACGTCGTCACATACAAACAGAGGTATGAAAAAAAAAGATTCATGGGAAATCTCATTTGCTTTTTACTGGCCCACAGTCCTTTCTAAGAAACACTTGGGGTGGTAGATTTGTCGTCACATACAAACAGAGGTATGAAAAAAAAAGATTCATGGGAAATCTCATTTGCTTTTTACTGGCCCACAGTCCTTTCTAAGAAACACTTGGGGTGGTAGATTTGTTTCACATTCCACATATTTTCTGATTGTAGAAAGGTAACATGGAACACATGCTGTTTATTATAATACCCTCAGCAGGTTTTGGGACAGTTTCTAGAGTCCAATACATTAACATTCCTGCAGTGAAACTTATAAATATTCATACCAAGTAGGATATATCAAAACTATTAATAATCTCACCTCAGTTCAGATTAGGTTTTTTAGCCAAATGACTTTTGATACCACACTAATAGAAAAATCTTTGGACGTATGGAGCTTTTAAAATTTTGGAATTGCATATAAGGAACTGTGAACCTATTTACCTGTTTAAGCATTATTATTCTTTTGTAATCTGGAAATACTCAGTAAACCTCTCCCTATAAATCTCTATCAAGTTTTTTTTCCCCCAGTAGAGGTGGTAGAAGATTAAATGAGAGGACAATGAATAGGTAGTGGTGTTGAATATAAGTATGGAACGATAGGAATTTTGTCGTTCTTGCTTGTGCTGTCATTTGGCTTGGATGATACCATTATTTAATGACATAACAGATAGTTTTAAACCCTTAAAATATATATTATATATTTGCCAAGAATTATTATTATAAATCTGCAAGGCATTATTTTACATACGTATAAAATCTTATATATGCCTAAGGTTATTTTTACATATAGAATTATTTTATATAAAATAATGCCTTGTAGATTTACCTGTTCTTAACTCTCCTGGCTTGAATCCACTGGAAGATTTAAAAGTACAGAATGGGATTGAAACCTAATTGGGTTCTTTTTGTTGTTGTTGTTGTTCGCTGGAAAGTTTTTTTTTATGTGGACTAATACTTCTTAAACTTTAATGATAAATTTGGAAGATCTCCCAGAACTCTTGTTAAAATGCAGATTCTGATTTAGTAGGTTTTAGGCGGGGCCCAGGATTTTGTACTTTCAGCAAGCTCCAGGTAATGTTGCTGCTTCTCCATAGATCACACTTTGAGTAGCAACAGTGTGGACCTAATTTTTGCTTTTTTTGAGACTCATGTTTCTTATCTGTTGCATTTGATTAATAAACCTAAATTTAAGCACTGAGTGACATTCTACTGCTGCTAAAGGATTTGTTGATTATAGTTTTTTCTGCAGGTGAGCTCTGACATACCAGTTTGTTTACTTTAATGAATTCCATTGCCTGCATCAATTTGGAGTATACTGCAATTTCAGAAAGGCAATATTCCCTTCCCTCAAGCTTTAAACCATTAGTTTATTGGACATTTTTAGGCAGAGTTCTGTTTATTAACAAAGGCAATTTTAGAAGATTTTTGTGCCTGTCCCCTCCTCTGTAAACCACAGGTCTGGGTTTCTCAAGGCCTGGCTGTTTTCATCTTCCCTCTGGTGGTTGTGTTTCAGTGGGACACAGGAGGAAGTGTACTTGGTGCCAGGAGAAGCTCGACTTTTTGCCTGGGCAGATCCTACTGGTACCAGAAAACTTACCTGGACATATGCAGCAAATACTGGAGAACACAGTCTGTTAAAGGTATCATGTGATGTGAATGAGTGCTGTATGAGTTGCCTGGTGGTGAAGGAAGCATACAAGCCAGCTTCACACAGTCATCTTTGTCCTTACTGAACTAAAAATGAAATGGAAGTATTTTCCAAATAAGTTGGTTTTGGAGTTTAGATTGCAAGTAGGTCATACCTGTATTTTAGGTTAGTCAAAATAATTTATTTACAATTTAAAAAATAGGCCTGCTTTATCTTGCCCAAGTAGAGCCCAGTAAAGTATCTTTTATATGCCCCTTTTTTTTTTTTTTTTTTTTTTAAAGAAAGGAATTTTAAAGGTAAGGGAAAACAACTTTATTTTGAACATAATGCATGCCACTGTTGGCTGTGAGGTTTTTCGGCATATTTTCCCAATGAAGACCGTGTGTTTTAATTAAAGGAACCTGACAGTATACAAATTATCCCATATAAGAAATTTAATGAGGGGCACCTGGGTGGCTCAGTTGGTTAAGCGACTGCCTTCGGCTCAGGTCATGATCCTGGAGTCCCGGGATCAAGTCCCACATCGGGCTCCCCGCTCAGCAGGGAGTCTGCTTCTCCCTCTGACCCTCCCCCCTCTCATGTGCTCTCTCTCATTCTCTCTCTCAAATAAATAAATAAAACCTTTAAAAAAAAAAAAAAAGAAATTTTAATGAAATTTTTATTGAAACAATATTTAGGTAGCTAATTTAATCAAATATGTTATTCTTAGACTCTTAAACTTTGGGAAGGTCTTAAGGATTCACCTACCAGCCTTTCTCTAGCGTAGGAATTGCTCCTGTGTTAGCAATATAGATCATTTGTTTCTGTAGAAATATAACCTATTATGAAAAGTTCATACAGTGTCCTATTCCACTGTCTGATGATGCCAGTTTGTTAAAAAAGCTTTACTGACTTTTGCTTTAAAATGGTAATTGGCCAACAGTGGCTGAATTATCCTCTCCTATATTCCCTCTGAAATACCCATAAAAGAGATAAAAACTTACCCACTTTTGAAAAATTAGACTGATAGTTCCTCTGTTACGAGATTCTTGGAATAATTTTCACCATGACAATTTGATGGAGCTATACTAGCTTGCTCGTGCTTTACTTTTTACAAGACCGAAACTCAAGGTTTGTAAATGGTACAGAGGCTTAAACTCCCTGATCCTCTTAGCTTCTTGGCTCAGAGACATGGGAGCTCTAGCAGAGGTCCCTGACTGTGCTGGTATTGTTTCCCCTCTCCTCACAGTTAATGCTGCTCAGTAACTACAACACCCAGTGGTAGTATATAGACACTAGAGAGAAAGTGGGAAGAACCTCCTGGAGGAGGATGTTCAGATCTGTATATTGAGGCAGATTCAGGAAGAATCTGGGAATAGTGTATGTGGGGATTGTGGTTTTTAATGTTTCTCTTCTATTTGGTATCCGAGAACCAGCCAGTAGGAAAAGTAGATAACTGTGCCTCAGTCAGCACATAATCTGCCACATTCTGGAAACTGAGGTAGAAGCAGGGCTGTTGCCCATTCCCTTGTCTGCTAAGTTGATCTGAGAAGGGAGTTCCACTCAGGCAGGTGGACATGGTAAGGGAATTCAAAGAAAATCCACACGTTATTGGCAAACACTAGATCTGAACAGATCTTTCCTTATTAAGTGTGAATGAACAGGGAAAAAACAAAAACAAAAACAACAGCAACATGGGGTTTATGAAAAAAATAGTTCAGGAGAAAAATGTAGCGTTATCCCATAGAATCAGGTGATTATACCCCTGAAATTTTTTTTACTACGGGAGGACCACAGGAAATTTTCCAAATTAGTGTCTCGCATCCTCAACTAAGTTATAAAGCTGTAACAGCTATGAAATAGAAGAATGCATGGTGAAATAAAAAGATACAACCAAATGAAGTAAAAGGGAGTAGGGAAGCAACATATTCTGTTCATACCATAAATATACCATTTAATCTTAAATTTTAATTACAGAAGTACAGATTAAAGTTTTCATTTTTTTAAAAACCTATTAATGAGTGGAACTAAAATCATTGGTAAGAGGATTTTAAAACAATTGAGAAAATGAAAATAAAGACAATTTTGCCCTTAAAGTAAAGGAAGGAGACCTAAGGAAGTATGTAACAAGTGGCAAATACCTTTTATTGAATCTGTCTCCTGTGTTAACGCTTCCTGCGTATTATCACTAATTCTTATGATTGGAATTCAGAACTTCTGGTTAAAATTCAAAACCAGGTCTATCTGACTTAACAGTCCATGGACTTTTTCCACTAAACCATGCTTCCCATCAATTATATCAGTAAATGAAAATGGTTTAAATTCTCCTATTAAAGACAAAACTCAGATTAAGTTAGAAAACAGTATCTAACTATATGCTACTTACCAAAGGTATGTCTTAACCAGACTAACACAGAACATTACAAGCATGAAGAGGCATTAAGGACTTAGGAGGCAAACAGAAGTAAAAAGAAAGCAAAGTTGTTGATTTTAATTTCTGAACAACTATAATTCAAAGCAAAAACCTTTAAATAGAATTTGATGATATGAAAAGAAGGCATGAATTCATCATTCTCAGTCTTAAAAATGATGAGTTCATGTCATTTGTGACAACATGGATGGACCTTGAGGGTACTATGCTAAGCGAAATAAGTCAGAGAAAGAAAAATACCACACTGGAATCTAAAAAACAACAACCAAACAAAAAACCCCAGAAACAGACCCATCAATACAGAGAACAAACTTGTGGTTGCCAGAGATTGAGGTGGGGGGTGGGCAAAATGGGTGAAAGGGAGAGGAAGGTACAGGCTTCCAGTTGTGGAATGAGTAAGTCATGGGGTTGACAGGTACAGCATAGGGAATATCGTCAATGGTACAGTAATAGCCTTGAATGGTGACAGATGGTAGCTGTGCTTGTGGTGAGCATAGGATAACATGTAGAGTTGTTGAATCATTACGTTGTACTCCTAAAACTAATGAAACATCATGTGTCCACCATACTTCAATTAAAAAAAAAGCAATAGATGTTAAACAGCAACAAAACTCAGCTGTTCCTATGCTCTTGATAAATCCTTTATTTGCTTTTTTTCCCAAGAAAGCATGAAATGAAAAGCACATAGTAGGTACTTGTACTGCTTGGTGAAATGTCTTATATTTATGTTAAGCCCAGAATGAGGAGGAAATCATTATTTCAGTCTCTGAAAACACTGACCAAATCAATCATATTTTTAGTGCTGAGACCTTCAGCCAAGAAGGCTTTGCAAAACAGTGCACACTAAGTACAAACCATAGTTTTATATAATGTGACTTATATAAATATTTGCAGTGTTGTAAGTTATTAAAACATAAAAATAAACTAGGTTAGTTTTACGTGAGGTTACTGTTCTAATAAACTTAGGAACCTCTCCATCTTGGAGACAAGTAAGCGTCTTAGGACACTGAGCACCCTTGCAGGATACTCTTGTTCCTGCTGAGTGCTCTTTGAGCAGTCAAACCCAGGGTACAAAAAAAAATTAAGCACTATTAGTGTTTGTTATTGTTTGAAAACATCGGTGAGTTATGTTTTAAAATAGATTATGACTTTAGTTAATTTATGTCATTTTGATGGTTAGTTTTCCAATTTATAGTCATGCTTTTTAAACTTCTCTACTTGTTCTCAGTTACTGTAGTTTAACTTTATGTAATAAAAACTTAACCGCTTATGGGTTTAATATAAAGTCTTTCTTTTCCCCAGGATGAATGTGGCCAGTTTCCCTATGATGCAAATACTCAGATACACTGGGTATCATTCCTAGATGGGCGCCAGAGAGTGTTGCTTTTCACTGATGATGTTGCCTTGGTTTCCAAAGCACTTCAGGCAGAAGAAATGGAGCAGGCCGATCATGAAATAACCTTTTCTCTCCACAGTCTTGGGCTTTCCCTGGTTAACAATGAAAACAAGCAGGAAGTTTCATATATTGGGATAACCAGGTACGGAAGAAGAAAAGGCATCAGAAATCTTTAAAAAGCATTGAGTTGATAATACCAAGTTTAATGAGAGTAAACAGCTTTTCTGAATTTTGATGTATTGCGTATTCTTTCAGCATAACTTACGAACAGTTTTTTTCACTGCTAGTTGAAAAGCCTCCTAAGATAGAAAGATGAGTAAGATAATGCCTCTGCACTTACTGTACTCATCAGCAGTTGGTGGGGGAAGAAAGAGGTTTGCTTCTTTGTTTTTGGTATGTATTTTTTTGATGAATTATAATAACAGAAAGAAGTATATATACGTGCAATGGCAGTACAGAGATAGAAGCAAGTAAGTTGTTTTGTGCAGTGGAGGCTGAAGAAACTGGCCTGGATTAGAGGAAGCCAACAAGAGTGGGCCAGATAAATTGGAGAAAACATTCATGGAGGAGGCAGTATTTGACATAGGTACATAGTCTTTAATGGGTGGTTATTTAGAACTTTTAAATAGTGATGGAACCAGTTATTTTCTCTGATTCTGCTTGTATCTGTATAAGAAAAATATTTGAATTTATTTATTTTGACTTTTTAAATCTCACTAACTTTGGTAAAAGACTCCTTCATTTCTTGGAGGCTGATGGGTGGAATGGTTAACATGTTACCATGTATCATCTATCAATAATCATGTTTAGTGTAAAAGTAAAAAATTAAGTCAATAAAAATATCACATATGTAACACGCTTTACGCAACACCTGACAGATTAAGAGTTCTAAAAAGGGTATACATCCATTGATATAATATTAATATATTTGTGTATATTTGAGTAATATATTCTCTTGGTTATACACTTGAGTATATTATAGTATTTTTAACCTAAATATGAAAATAATTTTTAAGTCCTATAAATTCAGTTTCTTCACTTTGTTGTTCTTTGATGTAACTTATTTTTACTTTAATATTACATACGTTATTACATTTTGTCAGATTGGTCTTTACTTGTAAGGACTTTTAAAAATTCATCTAAAAGAACTTGATTATCTTTTTTCTGATGGCAGTACACATTTAATACGCATTCAGTGGGGATGTGTACTGAGGAAAAATAAATCAGTTACATAATTTTTAAAAATAGACTTATTTTTTGAGCAGTTTTAGGTTTATAGAAAAATTGGCTGTGAAAGTACAAAGTTCCCATATGCCCTGCATCTTTCCCCTATTATTAACATCTTGAAATAGCGTGGTACATTTTTTACTATTGATGAACTAGTGTTGATACATTATTATTATCTAAAGTCCAGTGTTGATGTTGTTTAAGTTAAAGTTTACTCTTTTTTTTTTTTTAAAGATTTTATTTATTTATTCATGA